AAGCTACTGTAGCTATGCTACTTATTCCCTATTTTCAATTGAACTATGTGCAGAGGATGTAGTCAAACTTCTGTAGCAAAGCTACGTATGCACTATGTGCAGAGGAAAACAAGCTCAGAGAGCTTCTACTTCTTAGGGTGCTTAACCCTCCTAGGCTAGCTCGTAAGCTTTTACCTATCGATTGTTGTGACCGTGTCTGAAACAGACTAGTATCAAAGATACTTAGTTCCTCAGGAGGAATCGAAAGCTCAAGCAGTGATGCTTATAGAGCAGGTTTGAAACTGATTTATATTTATGTTTATCTTCTAACACTAAATATAGATGCACCTATCTTATACTTAGTGCTAGTTACTATTACTGGCTCTTAAGCCTTTTATTATTATGCAAACATGTATAGTCACTATACTTAAATAAGTATAGTGACCAAGTGGCTTTCTACCACGATGTGACCCTTCGTACTTCAGGTACGGTCACATCACCTACTTTTGTACCCAAGGTACAGCCACACCATATTGGTGTGGCAAGTGTGTATGTAAAATACACACCTTGAGGAATTTGCAATAACAGATGGTCTTACTTCATACCTTGTTCTTGATTGTTTTTCGTATGTATTCTTAGTGTTGTTTTTGCTTCGTCTTACTATCAGAATTATTGCGAGTCATCCTGACACCAAGCCTGTAGTCTATTTCTTATAATTTCGTGACATTTTCTGGAACCATCAATGTCCATAGCAAGTCGTTGTAGTGTATTGAAACCAAGTCTAGTTAGATGTAGCACGAATACCATGCTCAAATGGCGCCTTTGCTGACTACCACTGAAGAACCGTAATGTCGTTGATACGTGGGTGTAAAGTTGCAGTGTCGAATCATTATGTTGCGGCATGCTTTCCAACGCATCGCTTTGGCACTACGCCCACACACGTGGAGAGAAAACAGAAGTTCCTTCGAAAGGAGTGTACGACTGGGCCAGTGGGAGATGACTTAACGATTTTACAGCATGGTTGGTCAAAACAGAATGGAAAAATGAATACAGCTTGGATCGCTTCGAAAGGTTATTCGATGAACAATGCAAATGTCTAGCGTATGTACGCTGGTGACAATCAGTAAACAAACCAGAAAGCTATGTCTTACAGGCCTGTAAATCGTGTAAAGAAAATAGGCGCAGTAGTTCGATTTGGCCTTCACAAGCGCTTAATGAATTCAACTTGACCTTCCTGTACGACAAGATAATCAAGGGCACGTTTCCTAGCCAAACGGCAAGTAAAGAGTAATGTCGTCGTTGATCCTGATTTTGGACTTGGTCATAACAAAAGTACGACAATTTACATTGAAAATGCCCGTGTCACCGGTGCGGCAGAAGATAGAATGAGTCAAGACACGACATCTACCAGGTACGGCTATGTAGACTTTTGTATGACAGTGACAATGAAATTGCAAGGAAATCCGGCTCGTTTAAACGCGCACAAACAACTTGCAGAAGAAACAGTGAAGTACGAAAGTTGGCTATGAATGCGTACTGGTGAATAAACGTCAAATACTGCATCTACCTGCGCATGCGCTCATCATGACGTGTATAGTTTTATACCAATCGTTTATCTGGTCAGTGATGAGTCGAAAATGGCAACGGTAGAGCTGCCACTCCCACCGCTGGCACAGCAACAATGACCGTACTTCACCACTAATTGCTCGAAGACATACTGCTTACATGTCGCCTGAAGCAGCTGTGTCCGTGGCTGCCTTCTGCAACAGTACTTCAGTCTCTTTCTCTGTCAGTTGACGGTGCACGATCGTGCCGTTAGCGTCCCGCGTAACAGTCATAAACTCAAGCTTCTCTGCTGTGGGAGAAGTCAAATCCATGGTCTTGTTCATGACCTTCACCGAAAACGCCAACGCCTCATCTACAGTCATACCCTCCTCATAATCACTCTTGAGCATGCTCTTGGCGGCGCGGTTGTTGGCACCAATAGCGGTGGCCTTCCATCCGCCATAATTTCCACTAGGGTCGCTATGGTACAGCTGGAAGCCATGATGGCGATCCCATCCAGCGTATAGGAACGAGACGCCAAAAGGACGCTGTCCACCAAATTGCGTGTACGCCTGCTTATAATTGCAAATGGTCTGCACCAGCTGTTCGCACGGCTCTTTCTCCTGGTATGCCAGCTCGTAGCGCTGCGCAGACAGACGCGCGTAGTTCACGAGAATATTGGCATCGGCAGTCAAACCTGCCACCGCACAGATCAGGTGATCGTCCAGCTTAATGGTCTTCTCACTTGTCTTACTGGGCGTTAGCAGCTTTGACACCGTCTTCTTTTCCGCTATAACGCCAGCAAAGATCACATCAATGAATAATAGCTTGTTACATTAACATATCGACTATACATAATATCTCATCAACCTGCAATTACAATACAGTCCTTGGCAAGGATCCCCACAGCTGACCCGGCATTGTTGATGGCTTCCATGGCGTACTCCACCTGAAAAAGACGGCCTAGCTCAGTAGCAAATGTCAAGAAAATCTGCGCTAGAAAAACATAGCAGCTTTAATGCAAATGAAGGAGCAGTAGATACTGACCTTCTGGGGAGAAAGTGGTCGTACGACCGTCGTATCGTCTGGACATGTTTCTTCCGTTTGCTTGTACTGAATGATCTTTGTTGTATCTGCTAATGAGGGGGAGGAGTGGTTAATCTTTGTCTTAATTGGTGGAAAAGACGTCAGTTATTCCTTGAAATGGGCCAATGCAAACCGCTTATTGCAAACCTCTCCTTTAGAAAAAGGTTCTATCAAAAAAACCATCTAATAGAAAGTCCGTTTAAATGGTATACGTGTATGCGATTCATTATCTGCGGTATCGACAAGAAGGTTCTTACCAACACGTTTCTTTCTTTATCGATCGATGCCTTCGTTTATAGACGCAACCAGCTGGTGAAATTGTTCAGGTGAAAGCGAGGCGACAACAAAACAATGGCGCCGTAGGTGATGGACATTAGCTGCTGCAACACAAAGCCCAGACTAACTACAAGACCGTCGGAACATAGCAATAGATGCTTGTCATAGATGGATTGTCGTCATATGCTGATATTTCGGGTATGACTACACGCTGATTAAGAGGTAGAAGAAAGCTTTAGTATGCTCTTGTACAAGGTGTCATGCACTGGTAGGTGGCATATTATGATGTAGCCATCTGCCTTCGAATCTTCGTTGAAGAAATGTCGTTTCGAAACGCGGACTCGGGCAGCGGAATGAATAGATGGCGGAACACACGCGGCACATGATTTTCCAGTACCTCACTGGCAGTTATATATCGGTTCTCGACCTTGTTGTCAAACCTTCCGGCCACTACAAAAGAGCATTCGTGACGGGCAATGTGGTCCAGAGCCAGCACCATCTTGTACTCGTCCATGTCGTAATATTTCTTGTCTACAAGTCGAACTGCCGTATCGGCACCAATAATGAACGTGCAGCCAGGAAGTAGCTCGGCTTTCTGACCAAAGAGTGCAGCATTCGTGACCAGCACAGGCCAAGCATCTAGTCCTAAGGTGTTGCCATGTAAAAACTGCGCAACTCGTGTCGATACTGTAGACGATGGAATCACACCCTTATCTGCATTTGCTACCGCAAGCTCAAACGCCACAGGTACTTTGACTTTTAATCGCGACTCCATCAGCTGCTGGGCGACGCGCGCCAGATCAATATGACCCCTGTGAAGTGGATTGAATGATCCTGGCAGAACTAGTCCACGAAAATGAAACTCTTGAGCAGCAATTGTTGTAGCACCTGTATCGTCTTTCGGTGTCGAAGGCAAAAACGCGACACTCGACAATCGGTTCACTTTGCCACTACAGATACCATCAAGTGGATCGTTGTCACCCTCGTCTGCCGTCACATTCAAAAGCGTATCACTTCCGGCCTGTGCAAGCTTCAGTTCATCGTGAAACGCTTGGCATGTTTTTAAATCCACATCAGCAGCCTTAGCCAGGAGATACACGAGCCAGTGACCCACAATTTGATCCTCCTCCGTCCTTGAGCGCCCCAATGACTTGTCCAATTGAAGGTGGTATGTTTCACATTGTGGACGCAGGTAAGTGTTGCTCCTGGAAACAAAGCAAGCCCGGCACACCGACATAAAGCACTCGTGTGGACCTTTCCTAACGTAGTTGGTTGCTAGTCCAGCGGTGCACGCAATGCCTAAACATGTACGGAATCGCTTTAAAGCGCTGGGCACCGCCATTGCGTTTTGTACGTCATTCTCGATTGCTTCTTTTCGCATAATATCAGTTGCCTGTTTCCATGCAGCAAACGCCATGCGCTCCGCCGTCTCCTCCGAGCAACATTTTAGCGTGGACTCCGACGGAATCAAACTCAGATAGGACTGCAAGCTCGCACGCGAGTAGGGAACAGAAAATTGAAGCATTGTAGAAGAGCTGCCTGAGCGAAACAAGCTCTCAGCTACAGAAACTCCACCGCCTGTCACAACTGCCACTACCTTTACATCAGCAGCCAGAATCCGTTCGATCATTATCGCCGGGCTTGTCATCGTTTTGGCTCCGAAATTTGTTTTAAACGTTTATTGCTGATATGTTTTATTTTATAACAGCACGAAAAAACCGCTGAAACACGAAAAGCATACCTAAACAAATGCTAAAATAAGTTTAGACGATTTTATCACACAAAGGTCCTATTCACCCTGAGACAATTATAGAGTTGCCTCTAACCGGTATAGCAAGCTACAAATCGCAAGGGAGACAAGACTTTGTCTTCGCAGATTGGAAGCGATGTGCTTCCTAATCGCATTTATTATAACTTTGTAATTTTTTCAGGGATCGAATGGAATAAAAAAGACCAAAGTAAATTACCGCGAATTATTGTCAAAATACATGAAGAACAAGCGCGAGCAATTAGTTCAAAAACTACACAACGTACGGTACTCCAAATGCTTATTAGTGCCTAAACATCGTGTTCGTTCCACGAGCCATCCATGTCTTCCATCTTTCCCTAATTCTTTACTGCTTTTCCCTTGTAAAAGTGCATAATGGACCATTCTGTCTTCTCTTCAACCAACTGATCTACACACCCTCATCCTCGCCCTCCTCTAGAAAGCCGCGCGAAGGCATATAACCCCGAGGGCTCTTAGCAGCAGCAACCTCCGCAGGGTGTAGCATTTGGGACTTCTCGTCTTCCAAATCATAATCTTCATTCATAGACTGGTCCTCCAACGGCATGTACTCGGCCAAAATGCTGCGCACCTGGTCACGCATGTGGCGCTGGGTACGACGCCAGTAAACAAAACCACCTGCAGCCACTATGCCCACAAAAGCAAGCAGCACAACAACTAGGGACGTGAACGAATAGCCGCTGGTGCTCGCAATAGAGGCCGCATTCGCAAGACTGCCCACCTTCACGCAATCCAACAGACCCGATGACGACTGACCAGCGCACGTGCACACCTCAGGAGGATCATGGACACCATATCCAGCGCACACCATACCCAAAATACTGGTTGGGTCCACACGACCGCGAGCGTGTACTCCATCCACATAAAGCGCCGGTAAACGCAAAAGCTGAAGCGCAGTCTGTTCCTTTAATTCCTCCTCAAGCAAAAGGTTCACTTGATCCACGTCGATACCGTAAGGTTGCATACACTTTTCCACCGCCTTTACGTCAATATTCAACTCCTTCATAACCTTCTCGGGGCAAGCACGACCACGAAAAACGTCTTCGTCCTTGCCGCAAGCTGCTCCAGATGCCTTCACATACTTCCACCAATTCAGTCCAACACCCGGGCTATTCTCGCTTTCAAGCTTCCAAATACACTTGCGACGCAGATTCTCTAGCACCACATCGGCTCCAGACGCGCCGTACGAGCGGTCGTGAAAAGGCGACGGATCCAACAAACAGTAGCGGCCGTTGTTCAGGCACATGTTGCCGCAAACCGAAGCACCCAGATTACCATCGTCGTGGCAACCCAATCTAGTACCATTGTACGACACAAAGTGCGGAGTGAAGAAGGCGCGGTCGCCCAACGCCGTAACCATCTCTTCCAGATTAGACAAAGTCAATAACGACTTATCATCCCAAGCGCTCTGCCACAACGTCCACTCCACACGGCCATCAGGCGATGGAATACCCCATTCAAACTTGACCATCACATTGCTAACGCCTTTGCTCTGCGCAATCTCGCGCTTTATAGCATCACCGTCGCTCTTACGAATCAGCATGCTCGAAATAGTAATGTCACCTCCCGATTCATCGTCCGCCATAAATGGCAACACTGTCTCGCAGTAGTCGTCACCCGTTTCGCGCAGACAATCAACATCGGTACAGAGACATTTGTCGTCTGCGATAAGCACAGCACGCGCGCCAGCGTGTTGGGCACGACGCACTTTCTCCACAAAATGGCAGTCTCCACGGTCCAACAAAAGCGCAAAGGGTGGTTCCCATTCACTATTCTTGATTTCACTACAACCAGACTCATTCGTGTACACCAACTGTGCCTGTAGCGAACCCATCGAGTAAGCCGGGTAGCCAAAAAGTGCATCTCTGTGCTGATATCCGTCCTTCTTCATAAGCTTTTCAGGTAGCACCACCTGCAACTTTGTATGGTCATTCTACGTAAATAAAAAATACAGATAAGTGTCATTGAGGGTGTTTAAATAGATGAACATAATGAGACAAAAAGAGACTAGAAATGCTGAGCGCACCTCTGTAGAAGGCCACTCATCCACGTCCATCGCTCGAGCATGCACTAAAGCGGGTGTGGTAAGCGCCACCAGTAGCGCAGTGAGCAGCAAGGGCGAGCCAGATGCAGGCATCTTTTTCTTATTCTTTGTTTCGCCTCAAGTCTTTTTTTTTTAAGTGTGGGGAAAAGCTTCTTCAGGTTCGGTTATGTCGCCCATCCGAATGAGCATACATAGAATTACTACAAAAGGAGGAATGACCTTCGTGCAGCGTGATACAGCCAATCATCGACCACAAAAGTTTTTCACAGCTGGCAGTAATCAATCTGCTCTGGTAGTCATCAAGCAGTTTCCGCGACACGTGAATAACGACTCAGCTATGTCTAGACGTATGCATGTGCCAGACTATTATGGACCAAAATTATGAAACTTACGTGAGCGTTATTATGCAATCTACTGTAAAGTGAAGAGATACTACTTAATTTAGCGCTTCATTTGGTTGAGTTGCGTCCTGCGTCGCCTGCCTCGCCCTTGTGACTTTGATGAGCTTCTTTTACCATGTTTGAGTGCTTTTCTGCCATTATATCGGCCAGAATTGATTGAAAAAACGCATGTCGTCGACCATCGGTGCATGCGATGGAAGAGAAAATTGAACGGAAAAGCACAGTATACGCACGCTATATTTGCAATGATAAAGTTTACATGGTTGCGCTTTCAAACAGAATATTTAGTGCAAGATCTCCATACTACGTACAAAACCTTGAAGAAATCTACCCAAATGCCGCCGTCAACGAGTCCGTGGCATCGGGTGCGGATAGTAAGTAATCCCAGCATTGCAAATAGTCTCCTACACTCGCCTTGACCTCAACGCAGGCTTTAGTAACTGCAAACAAACATCGAATACGTCATAGTGAGGGGTCAAAGGTATGGATGCTAAAGTTACTAAATTGTATGTGATGCTGCTGCCACCAGAAATGCCACGCCAACTGAGCGGTTTGAGCGAGCGTTGTGTCGGCTGGTGCCTAGGGCATAATTAATGACGGAGTTCTTGTACCGTTCTTTGCGCAAAGATGTGCACTTAAGTGGCTCTGCGTACGTGAACACATACTGCAGTCGTTGACCTCTACAATTTGCTGTAAGTTTAATACAGATCGAATACTAGAACCAAGCGGTTTGCATCAGTGTCATCATGCTTTAATTGCGTCATCCATCCATCAATGGCACTTCTCGCACAATTTTAAGCACGTCATAACAATTTGTAAGCAAGTACACACACACGTGCGCAACACATCAATTAGTTGTAAATGCGCTACCAGCGAAAACGTAGACAAAGATAGGAAAGAGTCCGGTGAGACTTCAAAGAGCTCTTCTATCAGCTTGAAGTTAACATGGCATGTGACTTATACCATTCCACTCTTGTCGAGACAAGCAGCCCTAAACGCTTGCCCATCACCCTTATATCGCTTTGAGGAGGGGCCCACTCGGTTCAGCTTACTACACTTGTGTCGGGTCGTAAATGTACCTCGGTGCGGCCTAAATGGACCGGGCAAATAAATATAACGGCACTGCCCGCTCGACCAGCACATCCATGACTGCACTAATTCTTGCCCAGCACTTGTCTCCAAGTACGTCGCTTGCCGTAAAGCACAGCCATCCTCGCCCTGTCCGTACGCGATCATTGCGATCACAGCAGGCACGTACCGCGGTCTGCTGCCACGTTTTCGTTGACAGCGGACCGGTTTTGCTTCAATTTGGATTCGCCTCATGGCGCAGGCAGAACCGGCTGCTGCTCGCGTTTCTTGCCCTTCTTGAGTTGCCGCTACGTGTTCAATTGCAGACAATCAATCAAGCATCGGTACGGCAATCATAACTTATAAAGCACAAAGCTTTGTTGCCTGTCCTGCATAATGAGCGAAGGTTATTGGCAACAAATTTGCTTGTCTACTCCGTCCCAACGGTTGCATTTTACCAGCACATGAGTGTACTGTTGTTGTAATTCTTCGCGAAAAAAAGAAACGAAAGTAAAAAAAAGACTTTCCGTCTGGTGTTGTGTGAATTGCTCCTGCAGCAGAAGGGTAGCGTACTTTTGCACCGCCTCGGATGCAGTTGTTCGGAGGACGGACTCCTTTACATGTATTTATTCCGACACGATTTACTTGTCCTGGGTCTATTCACCATAGTTAACTTTAATCAAAACAGAACGCCACAAATTGTCACAAAGCGTTTCAGACAGACGTCGCTGTATCCAAGCAGGTGTCAATTAGTTTTTGTCTACTATCTTTAACGCTAAACTGACAGATGTCAGTACAGCATTGCGCCCCCCTCGCTTTTCTGAGACAATTTCACCGCTCTGCCCAGAAAGTGGCGGAGAGCCGTGCGAGGTTTCCAGGACGCGAGGAAGATGAGGTATTCATTTGCAGTCTTGCGAGGACGTAACACGAAGTGTAGATAGATAAAACATTATAGGAAAAGTGGACGGTTTTAGCGAACAAAGTGTTTGGCGACGGAAAACAGTTGTAGCGCAGTTAGAAGACATCAGGTGCAGGTCAGATTTGCTTCAGTCAAGCCTCACGCACGCTCTTAGTTTTTGAGCCTCGATGACTCGACGTATGAACCAGTTTTTTGTCTCTCGTAAACCTCCAACGGTGGTAGTTACTGCCCCTACCTCCTCTTTAGCAGCCCCCCTGCGTCATCTTCCTCCTCAGTATCATCGTCTACCTCTAGCTCGTGCTTCGTGTTCGAGTCTAGGCTTGAAGACCTTACCCCGATTGACGACGAAAACGAGATGGATAATTGTAAATTTGAGGCCAAGCTTGGGAATGAGATGCATATTCCAGTAGCCAAGTCAACAGCAGACGTACGCGCATGTTCTGCTGTTGGCAACGATTACGAGGACATTAAGGTGACGTCGTCAATAACGACTAATAGATTCCCGTCGACGGGCGCAATCGAAGCCAAGATTAAGTCTCTGGCATCTTATTTAAAGTCGGTTTCAGCCGGCATTCGACGTCGCAGCATAGCGTTTGACCGTGCGCAGGCGTATTATCGGAGGTCAGTGCCGACCCCGGCGGCTATTCGCAACAAACTGAATGTGATTGTGACAAGGCATAGTAGTGGAGAGCACCAGACAACACTGTCCTGGGACGACATTGATGAAGAAAGGTATAGTGACTTAAACGAAGCGATGACGGCAACTCCCTTGTCTAGAAAGCGACGAGGATGTCCTAGCGAGATTTTCCGTGAAGGTCAAGTTCGTCAAATTTGCACTCTCTGCGACGTGCCCGATCAGTTTGTTGACCAGGTTATAGAGACTATCAAGTCATCGTTTGGTACGCCGGGATTGGATGTAATCGCCTTGGAGGAGTTTATGCCAGGAAACGTCGTGGTATTCGTAGGCATGTTGATCTTTCAAAGCATTGATTGTGACGAAGATTTCGTAGACCTTAGCGTTATGCCGAGCTTTTTAAGGCATATTCAGGAGCGTTACGATGGCAACATCCCGTTTCATAATGCCACCCATGCTGCAGACGTGATGCACACACTCTTTATGATGCTGTGGAACACGAGTCTGGGTGACAAGATCTCTCAGCACAATCAGATTGGAGCGCTGCTGGCGGCAGTGATGCATGACGTAGAGCACGTTGGTTTGACCAACGATTTTTTGATAAAAACCTGTCACCCTATTGCGCAGGAGTACCCTACCAAGGCTCCAATGGAGTCTAAACACATGGATCTTGCGTTGCAGGCGGTGCTGGACCGACAGTTTGGTATTCTTTCCAAGTTGACGCCGGTGTATCAGCAGGAGGTCCTCGATGTCATCCGTGAGACGATTTCTGCGACAGCTCTTATTTATCAACCCGATCTGCTCGCTGAAATCAACAACACGACGATTGACGAATGGAAGATGCTTGAGGTGGACGACACGGTTCTACCGCAGCATTTGCAGGTGCGCGCACTGCGCATCGCCATGCACGTGAGCGACATTAGTCAGACGATGAAGCCGTTTGCGAACCACAAAAAGTGGGTGTTTCGCCTTAATGACGAGCTGTACAAGCAGGGTGAGCTGGACGCGCGGGAGCAGTTGCGCGTGAGCCCCTGGTTTTGCTTTCGCGACTCGTGGACGTTTGGAAAATTTTTGGGCAGTCAGGTGTGCTTCCTTAAACAGATGGCACTCCCGGCCGTCGTGGCACTTAATGGCATTCCCTGGCTGGATGTAAACGAACTTGTGAACGGTATCGAGAAGAACATTGCCGAGTGGGAGCGGCAGGAGATAGTCGCTGCCAAATGAGCAATTGTAGGATCCAAAATGTTAGCGTGACTGTAAAACTATGCACACTTGCAGCAATAAAATTAAACGCTTCACTTTGAAATGAATTTTTTACTTTTCTTCTTGCTATGCATTATTTGGTATACCATGAGACTCGCAAGACACTTTTGATTAAAAAACATCATCATCATCTTGTGATACAAGCGCACGATTCCAAGTCAGTCTGCAGCTGCTCGTTTGAGACATCCGACCACGTAACATGTTTTTGTGCAGCTCTACTCAGGCAACATTCTACCAACCTTGTATAAAAACGATAATCAGAAAACTTGAAATAAATAACTTCGACCTCACAACAACAAACTTCGACCTCCCGTCACAATGCTCACAAATTGCTTCATTAAACTCACACGCTTTGTAGCAGCTCCGGTAACCAACGCTGAGATTAGTTAGCATATTTATATATATAGCGCTATGTGTCTGCCATCGATCTGTCCGTAACAGGTGCACAGGGAGGCAATACTGTGCAAATTTGAATAACTACTAACTAAGGGTGTTGTTTGGTGACAGCACCATACACGTGCTCTCTCCATGCTGGATCGCTTCACATTGTCTCATCAACCTAAAAGTGTTAGCGATATCTGGCGCTCGGTGGGTGCCGTTTGCTTTGATGTCGACAGTACTGTGTGCGTCGATGAGGGCATTGACGTGCTTGCCGAGCATTGCGGCGCCGGGAAGGCCGTCCAAGAGTGGACTGCCAAGTAGACGCTGCTGCAATTGGGAAACAAGTGATGTTGAATAGTGCTTACTTTTGTTATTGCTATTTGTGATTCAGGGCCATGAACGGAAACGTTAAATTTGAAGATGCACTTGCGGCACGACTGGAAATTATTAAACCATCAAGACAAGACATCCAGGACTGCTTGAAGCAGCACCCACCGAAGTTCACGCCGGGTACGTCATGTTGATCATTTTGATTGCTTGAGTATGCTGGCTTATAATATGCTGGTATTGCAGGCGTTAAGACGCTCATGGCAACGCTGAAGAAGAAGGGTATTGCCGTCTTTTTCGTATCGGGTGGCTTCCGCCTTATGATCGAGCCGGTCGCTGAGGAAGTAGGCATCCCTCTTTACAACATCTACGCCAACACCATATTCTTCGACGACGATGGAAACTACAGCGGTTTTGATGATGCAGAGCTCACGTCGCGAGACGGTGGCAAGGCCCAGGCCATTGAAGTGTACGTTGCTGGTTGAAAAAGAAATTGCAGGGAAACGCGCTCTTGTCTCTGACTAGTTGTAATATATGCTTCGGTGCTCTAGTATCAAGCGGATTCACGGCTACAAGAAGATTGCAATGGTTGGCGATGGTGTTACGGATCTTCAGGCGCGTCCGCCTGCTGATCTTTTTGTCGGTTTTGGTGGTATTATCACTCGCCATGTCGTGAAGGAAGGTGCAGATCTGTTTGTCACGGACTTCGACCATCTGACCAAGTTGCTACAGTAGGAGGCTTGTGCGAACCCAGCAACATATCGTATTACGGACCGAATGGTGACCTGGTCAGCATCTGTGCTTGCACTCAAGTAAGAATGAATCAGCACAAATTGCGCGTATGCGTGTTGAGTCAAAAAATGAAACGTCTTGTTTGTGTAAAAAAGCTAGTCATGATCTATACATTAGTCTTCCATTTTGAGATCTCCCTCACCATCTCCAGCACCCTTGGCGGTCTTTAAATCGGCAGGCGATTTGCGAAGCGCCTTTACCCGACGACTCTGCATCGAGTATATATCCTGGTGGTTCATGTGAATACGTCCAAGCTTGTCGCCTGTAAGCTCATCACGAGAAATGTTCTTTATCTTCTTAGAGGTCAGACCCTTGGGTTTCTTGGTAGCAGCCTTCATCAAATCAGACGATGCAAATTTAGTCCGACGGAATTGCAGATTAAAGCGCGGACCCATCTCGTCCAGCTCCACGCGCGGATGGGATTCGTTACCCTTCTTGAAGTCGATCGAGTACGAACGGAAAAAGACCGACTCCTTCCAGGCCGTACACACGATGACGTGGTCCAGTCCCTTTACATTCACATTCTGCACGACTGTGCCGCGGAAAGTGTCGAGCAATACATTTTTGAGCTTCATAAATGCCTCGATGTTTTCCCACTGATCGCCCGTGAACACAAAGCTGGGCTTAGAGCCAGGTGCCTTCTTACTTTTGCACTTGAAGGCGCTGATAGACTTGAAATTAGAGAAACCAAATTCCAGAACATCGAAAATGTGGCCATCGAACGTGCGACCAAGCACGAGGTTGTTCGGACGCTTCTTCGTGCTGCTGCCAATAAGGAATAGACTCGCGTCGTTCTTCTGCGTCAGAAACTCCACCATATTCTCATCGTCGAACACGTGAATGTCGTTTTTCTTGCCCAGAAACTTGGCAAATGGTGCCTTCAGCATGCGAATATCGCGCAATAGCTCATTGACCTCCTCACTAGTCTTGTTACCGCGCAGCACTAGCAAGTTCTTTGTGTTTTCTACCAGTTTGGGCTCCTTGGCCTTGATTGCGCGCTGCACATGAGCTTTGAGTCGCTTCGGCTTTGCAATGCATGTTACCTTACGACTCTGCTTGGCCACTTGCTTTGTTACCCTTTTAGTAGCACGTAGAGCCTGCTTGCTTGCCGTGTTTTTGATGGTTTTGCCACCGCCTGCCATTGCTCTACCTTACCCAGTGGTTATGCTATGGTAACAACACTTCACTATCGTTTACAGGAATGTGATTGGCCGTATTTGATTGGTGGTGAACGCAACAGTTACTAACACATTGTAACAGTATTTAGTTAAGCAGGTTTTTGAATAAATATAAAAGGACTTTTATTACAAAACGGCAAAAACTTTTCTGTCATTGCTGTTTATCTTCAAATATCTTGTATTGTATGAATTTAACCAGCAATATAGAATCCTTAGACCAAAATTGTGTTGATATCTATCTGCAAGCTTCAGTTATACTATTCGCTGCTTTCGATGCAAACACATTTCTTAAATAAGAATCGATGTTGAATTAAAGTCGAGACGATTATATGCAGTTCTAACCTTTGTGTTATCAAAAATATCGAAGCGAGTAAAAACTCGAGTATCTTTCTTTACCTGTATTTGTCTTGCAATTTACTAGACTACTACGACTGCATTACTAAACGAGTTGGCGCATAAGCATGTAATGCGCATTGGATAAGCTTCCTTACTAAATATCTCTTAATACGCCTTTAATTGAAGCAAGTCGATTTAACAATAATATATTGAGTTCAAAAGCTTTTTGGCACTTTGTTTTAACAGTTGCTCTGTTATGAAGAGGGGGTGTCCCATTTTGTCTTGATTCACATATAATGATGTTTCTATAACTGTTATTATGACCTCCATTCCCACTTCCGTCTCAGGTTATACAAACAAAAAGCAAAAGTTAACAGACAAAAAGAAATAGAGCATCAAGGCGGTAGCAGTATGGCACAGAATTTGAGCTTTGCGCGTGGTGGCACCAGTTCCTGGGCCGATGAAGATGATGTGGAACTGCAGCCTCTACCAGTGATCCCCAAGATTACTTCGTAAAGTTGCTGACGTCTCGATCCGTTCTTCCATCTATTGATACGCGTCTCTCATTGTGCATTTTGACTGTGGTTTCAAGCAGGATGGAGACGCCAGAGCCCATTGTGGAGGAAGAGACCAAGCCTGAAGAACAGTATCAAGATGGTATGAGATTACGTAATCTATCGTCTCCAATGACGGATAATATTGCGATACATAGTGAGAGTTCATGAAGGATTGACACCTGTTTGCTATTGTAATATTGAACGTTATTAGAGCCTCGTCACGGTGATCAAGGCGATTTTCACCGGGAAGAACGTAATGACCGTCAGGAAGGATATGGCGATCGTCGTGGAAGACAAGGGGGCCATCGTAGTGGACACGATGACCGTCGCGGATCTCGTGAGGAGCGTCCTAAGAATCCCGTGCCAGATGTCGGCCCGTGGAAGGTGAGGTCGCTCACTGAAGTAAATGAGTGAATAGCTGGCTATTGAAACTTAATTTTGTGTTGTTTACTGCAGCTCTTTGTGGGCAACTTGCCCTTCCGTCTGACGGAAGACGACCTGGCAGAGTTCATCGGGCCGGACGGTATCAGGGACATTCGCTTTCCGCGTGATTACGAACACCGTCCCAAGGGCTTTGCGTACGTGGAGTTTGATGACAAGGAAAAGCTCGTTCAGGCGCTGGCCCTAGATGGATGCAACGTTGATGGTCGCCCTGTCAAGATGGACGTGGCGTTAAGCCACGAACGTGAACGTAAGCCGCGCAACAACAGTAGGTTTGAAAAGCGCAACGACCGCTCCTCGCAAGACCGCTCCCGGTGGGTATATATTGAGGTCTAGTCATTAACTGGTCTTGGTTTGATTGCGGGTTTCTGAACGTGGCGCTGTTTCTATAGTGAGGGCAGTGATGCTCGTCAAGAACGTCCACGTCTGTCGCTGCTGCCACGCACCGCAACCGAAAAGAATGATTCGGATGCAATTATGCCTAGCATTTTTGGCGAGGCAAAGCCGCGCGACGAGAGTGCTTATTTGGAGCGTAAGAAAGCACTCGAACTCGAACGCAAGGCGAAGGCGAAAGAGTCGAAGGCGAAAGAGTCGAAGGCGAAAGAAGTGAAGGCGAAAGAAGGCAAAGAATTTAAAGCCAAGGCTAAGACGGAAGCTCAAGCTGCCGTGTTTACGCACAGAAGCAATCGTGATGACAGCTCACGTGGCGGTCGAGGTCGTAGTCGTGGCCACAGTGATCGTCGCCATGTTGATGGCGGTCATGGTCGTGGTGTTTCCATGAAGGAGGATGCTTCGGCACGAAAGTCGGAGCCTCGCCCAAAGTTGGAATCTCGCTCAAAGCGTTTGGAGCCTCCCAAGGCCAAGATTTCAGCGCTGGCATCGGCGAAAATGGCCAATGTATTTGAAGTCCTGGATGACTCCGATTCGAGTTCGGATTAGAGTCGGGTCTGCTTACCGTTCTTTGTTGCAGTGGTTGTGCGAGCTACTGCAATAGCAAACGGCGAGCATAAATCGTATTCTTACGTCTAGTCGGCATCAGGTAGTCATAGTCAAGCGAACTTATGGCTCGCTTCGTCACATCAGCTTTATCGATCGCTTGTGGTTCTGTTTGTCATTTGAAGCTTCTTAAATCGACAGATACGGATGAAATAGTTCACAACCACATCGTTTTTATGAGGTCAGTCTCTATGCAATCGCTAAGTTTAGAGTATAAACTCCTGGTATATCTGATTGTCTGTTTCCTCGTGAAAGACATAAGCTAACTGGTCCAGAAAAGTCTGAAAGCGCTCGTGATCCTTTTCAGCAACTTGGAAACCCACTAGTACCCGACCGACATCAGCGCCGTGGTTGCGGTAGTGAAATAGGCTGATGTTCCAAGAGCTTTGTAGCGCCTCCAAGAACGTAGCCAGCGCGCGTGGACGGTCAGGGAACTCGAAGCGGTACAATCGCTCTTCGTGTACATTACCACGAGCTCGGCCGCCAGCCAAATATCGCGTGTGGACCTTGGCCAGCTCGTTGTCCGACAGATCCAGTACCTGGTAGGCGCCATTATGCGCGAAACCCAATGAAGACTCTTCTTGCTGAAGCTCACGGATAGCAGCAGTTGCGTGTTGAGAAGTTGGCGAGTGGAATGACAGGTGCACGCGTGCTTTCTTAGCGTCATCGTAGCGGTAGCTGAATTCAGTAATACGAACACCCAAGGCGTCTAGTCGGCGATTGAGGCACATAAAGGCACCAGGAGTTTCGTCGATCTCCACTGCAAGTAGTCTTTCATGCGAATCCGCACGCTCGGACACAAAACGCAGACGAGCAAAGTCGATGTTAGCTCCAGACGTTACAGCAACAAAATGGCACCCCGAGAGTCCGCGCGTTTTGGCATACTGCGTCATACCGGCAATCGACAGTACACCTGCCGGTTCAAGGATCGCACGGGTGTCATCGAACCCCGCTTTGATAGCAGCACAAATCTCGTCGGTCGATACTGTCACCATCTCATCCACGTAGTCAGCACACACTCGAAAGGTCTCCGTTCCCACACGTTTTACCGCCGCACCGTCTGCAAACAGTCCGACATGCTTCAGTTCCACAACCTTTCCAGCTGCCAGTGATGCCGTCATACCTGCGGCATCCGCCGCCTCAACACCAATGACCTTGACACTCGGTCGGATCTGCTTGACCCACGCCGCAATCCCCGCGAGCATACCGCCTCCTCCTGCCGGGACAAATATGGCGTCCAGCTTGTCTCCCGATCCACTAGTCTGTTGTAGAATCTCCATGCCAACTGTTCCCTGTCCAGCAATAATATGTGGGTCATCAAAAGGCAAAATGATCGTGAGCTTTTCCTCCTGCACAAGTCTCCGTGCTTCAGCTGCAGCATCATCGAACGTCTTGCCATGGAGGACAATGTCGACATATTCTTTACCATGATGACGCACAGCGTTCACTTTAATGTCCGGCGTGGCCAACGGCATTACAATCTTGGCACGTATGCCGAGCTTGCGGGCTGATAATGCCACGCCTTGCGCGTGATTGCCAGCCGAGCAACACACGCAGCCGGCCGCTTTCTCTTCGGCCAACAAGTTGGCCATTTTATTATATGCACCGCGAATTTTAAAGCTAAAAACAGGCTGCAGGTCTTCGCGCTTGAGCAGCACGCGATTCTGCAGCGCGTGCGACAAGGCTGGTGCTTCCTGCAGCGGCGTCTGTTCCGCCACGTCATACACGCGTGATTCGAGGATCATACGGCGATAATTGGGCGTTGCCTGCGTTGAAAGGCGTCGCCCGACGGCGTCGAAGCGTAAGAGGCACGGGTGGCGGCGTAACATGACAAGGTGAGGCTTGAATGAATTGTTTGTGTAATACCTTTAACAAGATGGTGGTGACTCGTGGAGGGGGGGAGTATGTAAAAATGACATGTTCATGCACGTGGTCAAAAAGTGTTTGCGCATTTGAAAGTCTTTTTTCTTGTGGCTGGCGTAGCTGATGCAAAAAGTTGATCAGATAATACCGTCTGGTAGACGACCGCCTGTCAGGGAGTCAAAGCAAGGAAGAATTGAACACTGTTTTATACTACAAGGTGCCTGCTTATCTTGTATTCCTGTACAGAGCTTGCGTTTGCTGTTGTTGTCGGGAGCGACACAGATTGTCGCTGCTTGGCGGCACTTTGTGTCGTTCTAGCAGCTTAATGATCCATTCGTCTCCATTATCATTCCTCATTTGATCCCTACTACTGACTTGAAACTACACTAGACGCAGTTATACAGTCCCTATCCCGACTTGCTCCTCGACGCCTCATTATTGGCACGCTTTACGTGGTTGTTCGAACAGATGCATCGGTCAAGTTTGTCAATTTCAGACTCAATTTTTTTTTGAAGTCAAGGTCCAAAGTCAACATTTGACGGTGCAAGGATGTCAACCACGGGGTTAGTTTTAATGCCTACGTTTGGTTACAACTACGTGAGCTGCTTGGGCGAGTATTACGTTATTGTAACTCGGAGCAGCCATGTAAAAACTTGGCCAGGCCATGTCAACCTTGTCAAACGTAAAATCTGAAAATTGCAAGCAAGCTAGACGCGGGGTATAAAATGACTGCCATGCGAATGAAGGATGCGCTTTCGTATATGTCTATTAGTGGTACCTTTCTTTGGGGTTGATGGAAGAAGCTCAGCACGTGTTATGGTAATACAAGACCCTTGCGTCCAAATGGTGCATCGATTGCTTATATGTGAGTAAAATAGGTAAGAATCGAGTACAAATTCCTGATAAAAAGATCATTCTTTCAACAAATCATCTTTTTTAGTCGGCTGATGATAAGTGCGCTTTGACCAATTACCGGTATCATTCATTTCAAGAAAATGTCGTCCCACCAACTTGCGCAAAAGATCTTTGTCGTCTTTGTGGACGGTGAAGCGGATGTTAACTCTCATACGTTCAATCATGTAGCTACACGTGGCTGCAGTGGATTCCTTGTACTACCTGACCCAAACACCATCGACTTGTTAGCTTTGCTAGGCGTTCAAGGAGAAGATGGTTCCATTGCGTGAGTTAGGAAAAGATTGTGTCCAAAAAGTTGTGAGCTTTCACTGAGATCTGGTCGTTATTGTTAATGGCAGATACCCGGAGTTACCTATTTTCTTCTACAGTGCTTGTGAATCCGCATGTCAACTCGTCAAGAATGCAGGAGTGATGTCAGTGCATCAAGTCTCAGAAGATGGAGCTGACACGAAGAAGCAAATCATTTCCAAGCTGGCTGACGTAGAAATTGCCAAGGCTCTGGTGTTTGTACACGTTAAAGTGACCAAGAACTCGTCGCTGACTGCAGATTCGTGGATCTATTCTCTCGTGTCGGAACTCGCAACGCAGCAGCAAAACGACGGTAACAGCAAGTTCTTTGTCTCAATCGTAAAAACTGCCAGTCAACATGTACTAAAGCTGTCGAAGCCTCATCCTCTTCGACCACAGCAAAGCTACGAGAAATGGGACCATAAATACCTCGAACAAAAGGAAATGGAAGCTCCGAGACGCCTCATGTTTGCTAGTTTTTATCAGGACCAGACGCGTCGTGATGCCGTGCAGACATTTGACGAGACAGAGATTGACAAGCTCGGTGGGTACGGAACAATGGATGCACGTGTCTTTATGAAAGAAATGGCATTCCGTCTTGGATGCGTTCCTAAATATGGTGCTTAAGCTTGCCTATTACATGCAATGGAGGCAGCTGATTGAATAAATTGTTATGCTCAGCCATGAAACGTTGATGATTATCCTTTGGGAACCCCGAAGGAGCTTGAGCATCGGGGATGTTGAGAGCGTGGAGAGAGACAGAATCTGGTATTGTATTGCTCTGAAAGTTAGGAATAGCTTGTGTCTGCGCTATCCCTTCGTCTCGAACGTTTTGAGAGACAGGATCTAATTTTACAGGAACTTGTTCTGTTGCATGCTTTTTCGATGATGGCACATTGTGCATCATACAGTCGAGTCTTGAGAAAGCAAGTCGGACTAAAATTAATCTGTCTTCAACTGAAAGCAAAATAAAGCACCTTGTCAGCTCCCTACACCACTACTTACCAGTATGGTATACAGACGAAACCTGATGGAGCATTGCATCGGCGTCGAGCAATATTACAGAATTGACTTTTGTGACTGAACGTTGGGCCTGACAATAATGTAAACTCCAAGTGCACGAATTGAGATTAAGCATGAGGACGCTAAGAATGCTCGGAATCGCGCTGTATTGCTTGGTTGTAAAGAGCTCGTCGTGCATCAAACAAAGACAGAAACCCAATAGGGTCGTTGTATACTTCCTACTAGACGGCAAGAAAAATCGTACGGACTTTCAGCTCCAAGTAAGTGTATGAGATAAATCATGGTGTTTGCTGCGCTCCTTTCGTTTTCTTCTCAACCATTCATTCTTCCATATCCATCTGATAATCTAAGGAACATGTCGACTTGTGACAAATAAATTTGCAGACTTCGCCACCTACTCTCGGAATTGTCATACGCATCTACGTAAGACAAATACGTCAATGTGAATGGAATAGTCTCTGGTCAGCTCATTAAAGTCAGCAAATTTGAAGTCGACGCAGCTCCTACTTACTGTATCTCCGTATGCTCTGCAGCTTTCGATATAAGAGTACATTGCCCATTCTGTATGCAGGATGTTTTCTAAGTCAGGTATCTCGAAGTGCTGAAGATACAATAGGCATTATAACGAAGTCTGATAGCAGATGCCTATTGATCTCTGTACCAAGATATTTCTCTCCTTTAGCAAAAATGACACAGCACACATGACGCTCTATTTCTTGTCCTCCAACGGCCCGTGACCCTGAAGGGCGTTTGTCAGATACTCAGACCCAAAAATCCAAAGCAAGCCAGAAAATGGCTAATGCTGCGATGGTCGTATACTGCTTTGACGTGCTCCAGTCACGCTTCAATGGCAACATAGAGCCCACGCCTTGCTTTAACGTGGAGCAGGAATGGTATGCGTCTCGTTTTACCGTTTCCGTCTCTGCCCGGTCTCTTATGATTCGCTTGCATTAATCTTTTCACTGACATTTGACAGTCCGTTATTCGTGACGGGAGATCGAGGAGCACGGTGGGACTCGCTTGCGCGGCTGCATTGGAACGCTAGCACCCACGAGTCTGCGTAACCTGCGCGATTTCACCCTCAAGAGCGCGCTGCGTGACAGCCGTTTTGCCCCCATCGGGCCGCAGGAGCTGCAACGTCTACCCTGCACTGTATCGCTCCTCGTCGACTTTGAGGACGTTGAGAGCTATGACGACTGGGAGGTGAGCACATCTTGATGTTTAGTAAGCCTCACATCCAGCGACTGTAATCTTCTTTCGTCTGTTCACCGGTTGCTACTCGTTTTGCTGCAACAGATTGGCACGCACGGGATCATCATCAAGTTCAGTGACTTGCGTGGAAACGAGTACAACGCCACGTACTTGCCGCAAGTTGCTCGTGAACAAGGCTGGACCCATGTTGAGACAGTCACGTCACTTATGAGAAAAGCAGGATATCGCCATAGTATCACCGAAGCGATGCTGAAAACTGTCTGCGTCACACGCTACCGCAGCTCTATCCACAAGCTTACGTATCAGCAGTATCTTTCCATCAGACAAGAGATACTGAACAGTGCATGAGTCTATCGCACATTGAGTTTCCACTCATTCACTGCATTTCAGCTTGAGTTTACTGTAGTTGCATATTTCCAAGCGTTATTGACGTTTATTTGATTGCTCGCTATCTATGTTCTCTGTTCATCTTCTAGCTTTATGCATTGGTTATGAATGCGGCACATGCTAGTTTATTCACCCGCAGACTGTCTGAACCAGCTCTCAGGCATCGGCGTTCCGCTGGGCTAAGCGCTCCTGATAGTCGTCATGAACCTGCTTGATGAGGCTGTCTCCACCGAGGAGTGGATCATAGCTAAACTCGTCCTCGTTGCCAGTATGATTGCCTCCGTGTTGGTCTATGACGTACATATTCTCTTTCAGCTCATTTCCACGTAACGCCGCCTTTTCTGAGCTTTCATCTCCCTTTTCACGGCGGGCAGGAGTGGTCAAGTGTTGACGCTTATTCTTAGCAGAGGCCGTGTATTGAACCGCCAAGCGAGAGTATACATCGCCATGCGGAGCGGAAGGTGGGATCGAGCCAATGGCACCGTTGCCTAAGGCCGCAAACTCATTGTCGTCGCTACTGTAGTTACGTGAGTGGCCTGCACTTACGTAGGACGTCGGCTGCCGCAAGCCAGAAAAGCTGCTGATGTATTGCTCAGACTCGTTCTCGCGCTTCATATTGGCAAGCACCTCTAAGACCGAATTGCCCTTGTCCGAATGTGGATTCTTATAACCTCCAAGTGTTCCAACAAATTGCTCTGTCGGAGCATTCAAGGACCTCTGCAATTTGTGCTGCCCCTTGTCCTTTAATCGCCTCGAGCGATTGCGCTCTGAGCGGCTTTGCAGGATTTCACGTTTTGAAGCACTGTCTCGCAGACGATTTTTGTGAATACCCGTGAAATTTGTAGGGTTCGACAGTCGCGAAAAAATGGATTTGGACGTGGTCGAAGAATCATCACTACCCATATGCGGTGAGCTGGCACCATCTCTATCATTTCCATGAAAACTAGACTCTTCACTACCATTGTGTAGCAGTGCACTATTTCTCTGCAATAACATTGATGCAAGCTCCAGGTTAGAACCACCAACATTTTCCAACTCCACCTTAAAACGGCGGCTATCTTCGCCGAACGAAAGAAGAGTCTGCGCGTCGTCATTGTCATCACTTCGTATAGGGACGTCCTTGCCGTCATGCTCACGTTCATCATCGTCATTGCTACCCATATCTTCATCGTCACCCGAGTCGTTGACCCCTGAAGTCGACCCTGATTTGACCTGTCTTGGCACTACCGCAAACTTGTACCCAATCGACGATGAAACAGGGACTCGAGACCGGCCTAGTTTCTGACTTGCCCCCACAGCCGCAGCTCTTAGCTTTCTTATCTTGGTTTCCAAGAATCGGACACGATTTCTACTAGAAGCAAGTTCCAGCTGCTCCTGCTGAAGACGGTCTTCCATTAACTGTTTTTCCCGATCCTTTGTAGAGAAAACCCTTTCCAATTCATCGCATTTTTTTCGAAGCACCGAATTCCTTTCTTCATACACCGACAACAGCACGCGACTACGCTCGCCAAGCGGCTCATGTGCAAAGGACGGTCCGTCGACGCTTGTTCCTCTCTCTATCACACGCTGCAATGATTCTTCGTAACTCTGCTTCATTTGCACTGTTTTCTCTCGCTCTTGCTCAAGATGGCGAGCAAGATCCGCCATTTGCACTTGCAGTTTGGCGACTTCTTGCTCCCTGCGCTGGTCTTGCTTCTTCACATCGACAGCCATACTAAACAGCATTTTTAGCAGTGTACGAGCTTCGGGCAATGACTTCGTCGTCTCAATTTTTGCAAGCGCGTTGCCTTCGTCAGCCATCCGTACATCGTCAGCAATTTCAGAAATTTTCTCTTCTTTGTACTCCAACTGGGCTTGACAGGCTTCAATCCGCTCCTCCAAGTCGTACAGTAATTGCTCTTCAGCAAGAGTCAGTTGCTGGTTTTGGGCGCTGTTACTTTCACGGGGCAAAAAACCTTGCATAGGTGAGGCTAACACATCCCGAATGTTCGTTTGTGACGAAACAGAGTTCTTTACCTCCCTCTCAAGCATGTCCCGTTGAGCATAAAGCGTTTCCATCTCCTCAGCCACAGCCTCTCGTTCCTTCTGCAGCTGCTCCAGTTTTTGTTGCTCCTCCGCACGCTTTTTCACCTCTTCTGACAACCACATGGCATCGTGGTCAACTCGATCCATACCACTGTTCTTCTTCTTCCGACCAGAAAATGAATTCATTTTCTTTGCTTGTGCTGTCAGTTGTTGTTGATGTTTCAGCCTTTGCTTTGCAATTGTAACTTCTTCCATCTTTCGCTTAAGCACCCGCTCTTGAGCATCCTTCTGAGACCCTAAGCGCAAAATTTGTTGTTTATCACGCTGCTGACTGCGTTTGAGACTCATAATCTCGCGGCGCCGTTGTTTTGCCTCAATTTCATATCGTTTTCTCTCTTCCTGCATTTTCTTGACTAGGTCCACCTTTTGCCGCTTCATGTTGGTGATCTCCGAGTTTAGCACGCGCAGCTGCATCTCGTTCTTTTGTTTCTGGTCCATAAAGCGGCTGATATCGCTTTGTTTCTTTCGTAGTGTATGGAGTTCTTCTTCCTTCAGCTTCAGGTCTCTTGACAGCTTTGCCAGTCGCCCATTATCGCCGGACGTATCTCCTTCACCATCGGTCTTCTTTTCGATCTGCTGTATCTCCTCCACAAGGCGATCGCGATCCACCTGGGCAGTATGCATCTCTTCCACCATTTCAGCCATCTTCTGCTCATAAAAACTTCGCATTCGATCGTAGTTTTCTTGAGCCTGGCGAATGTTTTGCACCAGCTGCTCCTTCAAGGAAATGTCGTGAGCAAGATCTTGCACCGATTCACCAAGGTGGCGTTGACGGCGCTGAAACACACGTATACGATCAGCTTCCTCTTGAGTTGCCGCCTCGACTTCCAAGCCGTCTGCCAAACTATTGTCGTTTCTACTTCCTTCACTGTCACCGCTAGCATCGTCACCGCTTTCACCTTCTTTCAACTTATTTAACAAGGCTGTTTCTCTCTCTATTTCTTTCTCTGCTCGTTCAATCAATTCGTTGCCCATATTCGCATTACCTGCCGCAAGCGAAGGAAGAACAAAGGCATGGGAGGTCGATGGTCGAGCTTCGCTGCTGTTGCCGCTGGCTATTGATCCAGGAAAGTTCATAATGACGTTGTCACGGTCTCTCTCAGTTGCTCGAAGTTTTTCTTGCAACTCGCAAATTGTTCGAAGCTGGTCTCTCAAAACATTGCACTTCGACACTTTCTCATCCGGTGACATGGAGCTTCCACCTGTACCTTCTTCAATGCACAGTCTCAAGTAGTCGCGTTCTGCTTGTGCTGCGATCATCTCCTCCTTCAAGTGATCAAGTTGAGTTTTGCCACGCTTCAGCTCGGCTATCAGTCGGGCCACCTCATTTTCAGCATTCTCAGCTCGCATCTGAAGATTTCCAAATGAATCGAAGTCGCTCGCCATGCCGATAAAATTTGTCCCCACCGTTTCCATCTTCAGTTCGCTTTCCGAAAGCCCCGGATTACGCAGCCTATGCACTTCCATTTGAAGCATGTTTACCTGGCGACGCAATTCCATGGTCATGGCTGATGCTTGGTCACGGTTGACCACAGGCTTGTTCTGAATGTTCCTCGCACGGTTTGCATACTTTAGCGCGTTTAACGTCTCTTCAAAATTTACATCAGCAGGGCTTACACAAGTAAGCATTAATGTTCTGCTGTTGCCACCCAGAGAGTCTTGAAGCATACGAGTTAACTTGGAGTCACGATACGGAATGTGTACTTTGCCTCGCTTCTTGTCGTCTCCCAACGCACTGATTACATTGCCAAGTGCAAGAAGGCCTTTGTTAATATCGATGCCTTCTTTTAATCGCTTGCCCTCTGCTTGCGTCCTCTTCTGTCGTTCTGAGCCAGCAAGATCTACAAAATTAAAGTACGAGTTTCTCGTTTCGTAGTCTCCTTCTTCCATTATCCTGCTATTAGCAGAAAGATCACAAATAGGTATCTGCTGCACCAAAGTAACTGTAAAAATGGCATGGGAACGACTCGAGTGGGCGTTCATGAGCGTACTGCCCGTCGTACGACACAACGTGCCCCTTTCCAGCAATTTCATACACTCATCCGAGTCTGTAACTTGAATTTCTGAAGCTCCTGTGACCTGAACTTCTCCATGTTCCGCTTCACGTAGACTAACTTTACTTTCCCCCGTAGAGTCCCCCAGCGTTACGAGAAGATCATGAATTTCTTCTCCATAGATCTCCAAAAACCGGATCTTGAGCTCCGCTTTGTAATGCTCGTTTTCCTGAATCTTGGTTTCCATCTGATCAAACATGTAGCTGATCACACGAGGGATGATGCCGTAATCCTCCGGTGGAATGTGTACGGAACTGCCGCTGCCCATCGTATACGTCTTACCTGATCCGGTCTGACCGTAGGCAAAAATGGTTGAGTTGTAGCCATCAAATGTAGCTCGTATGAGAGGATCTACGCAGCACCATATGTCGCTCTGCTGTGCGTACTTACTGAACACGTAATCGTACGTGAAGGCACGATTCTTACCCATAACAATTTGATTTTCCTCTTCCAGCACAGATATACACTCGTCACATCGCTCAACTTTCTCACGGCCAATAAGCGGCCGGATACGTACAGCCACACGCACAGATGCTGCATCATCGTCTGCCATGACTCAAGGGAAAACTTTCGTCCTTCAAAAGGATGATTCTGTGTTAATGTAGTATACAGATTAAACTCTGGTTAAAAGAAAACTGGTTAAAAGTTGCATTAATTATGTTGCACGTAAAGATATTATTTGCAATCAACAACTTCAACTTAAGCAAGACGTAAGTCGATACTTCCTGAGGTCGTGCAGATGAGCCCACAGGGTCTGCCAAAGTCCTGTTTGCAATAAGCGTACGCCAGTAAGTTGGTGTAGACCAACGAAACCCACCGATATTTGGATGTACCTTCGAATAAGAGTTCGGTGTCGATTAGACTGAGGCTGTTAACAGCATGAAAGTCGTCAGTATCGACTCCAGCGATAGAATGCCATCGTCACAAATAGTAAATTTTAGTTTGGGCCTGCGTCAGGCCCAGGACGATGCTCCCTTGATTCACGCCCAGGGAGGTGCGGTGACTCGCCACTGGAAAGCTTGCTCAAATGGCAGAGGCTGTCGACGCGTGAGGACGCCGGCTTCGTTAAGATAAGTCCCAGCATCGAGGTGTGGCAATAATGGAAGTACGACAATCTCCAGCGTCGAAACTTCAGTGATTTCGGGAAGATTGTAGAAAAGGTATTCCATCCGCCTTATTTGCAAGATGTCAAAAGCGTTCATGAGACCATAGGCAATACAGTTGTAATGTTGCGGCCTCAGCTCATCGAGGTCTTAGCCTAAAATCCACGGATTGTCCGTCCACAAAAATGTGCCTAAGAAGACTGCAGAGCACCTATCCAGAAATAATCTTCGACCGCTCTTGGAGGGAAGGAATCCTGCAGTTGCAGGCAGGATCCGTGCAGGCCCTTGCCACCAACTCGCAGTGATTACCACTAACCGTCGAAATGCAAAATTATTCGACACTGGTGTACTGTCAAGGACGGGGCGCAAACTATAAACCTAACTCGTAATTAAAAGCGCAACGTGGAAGAGGTCTTCGCGGTGTGCCGTGTGTACATTGATCCGGCAGCTGTTCAAGCATACTTCTCGTCATCCAAATATCCACGCAAAGATGCATATATCCTATCGAAACGAAAAGCCATCGAATGGCTTGCTTTTGCCGTCGTATTTTGGCCGCGAGCTGGACATTCAGCCGGGACGAGCTGCATTTGACGGACTTGTCGAAGAGCGATAGGAGCGGAACCGGGTGGGTACTCAGTGGAAAACCCTAATTGCTAAAAGTCTTCAAATGAGCCCTCCCTTAATGCACGGCAAGATAGGTATCCGTCGGAGATGACAACAGCGCCCTAGTGTAGGCGGTATGACTTAAGCATTAGGAAAGTGCACGATCCGTCTGCGGGCGTCGTCAAAACGTCGTAGCGGTCAGCTTACCCTGTTCTTTGTGCTAAAAGCTTCGTCGTATGCCCCTAGCGTCCTATTGCCCCGCATAGGCGGGGTGAATCCAAGAGAGGCTGAGAGTCTGAACCGGTATCGGTCAGTTTGTGGCACACGGTACTTTCCTTGATGCTTACAGTTCGCGCAACGTGATTGCGCACGGCTGCCTCCATCTTTCTGAGGTTGGCATTCAGTTTTAAAAAGAGCAATGTTGATGGTACTCAGCCACTATAATAAGTGCATCCTCATCTTCCATTCGGCACGACAAATATAGATAGGGCTGGAAAATATCTCCACGACAAGACAAGTGGACAGTCCATAACTTGTACGGTTCATATTCGGACAGCGCAGTAATAGCGTTATAATGTTCATATGCAAGTCGTATTAGACTATAAATATTGTATTGTTTATTGATTTGTAAACATATTGATAACATAAATGCCTGCAATGACTACATTAGCTTCATTATTGCCCGAAAACCACTACAACAACTCATTAAGTGCCGTGGATTCACTTGCCGCCAGTTCCTAGATTGTTATCTTGGAATGTAGCCCCGCCGCGCAAGTGCTCTGGCAGAACGGGCTATCATTATGCTAGCCAGCCAGCTATCAGACATAATTTGTACTCATACTATGTATACTTGTTAGAATTGCGGCGGGAGCCGAATGCGTTTGGCTTGCATTAGTTGGTACATAATTCATTCACTTTTGTTTTACTTTTCATTTCAGTATACGTTTGGTGAGTGTCGAATCCTTTGTCTGAAAATACGTGAAATGACATAAACCTTGTGAAATGACGCAAACTTCTGGTAAAGAATAACGCAAACTGATCCCACAAGATGCTCTCGCACCTTTCTCATTCTCCACTTTGCTTCACTCGCGCCAACCAAGCTTCCCGTCCTCTGATTTCAACAGAACGCAGGATGCGTCTCAATGTCATCCTTTTGGCCGTAATAGCGGCCCGTGGATTCCGTAATTCCAGCAAAATGGCCACTCAGTCGGACATTTTGCCGATACCCGTGTCACTCAGACGTGCACTTACCGAGAATGTAATGAGCGCCCAAACCATGCCCTAACTGTATCTAGTGTCACAATGGATTGTGTGATTAGTCGTGGAGCATTCTTCTTGTCTGACCGCACTTCCAGCCATAATGCCAGCGTCTGGACCATTCATCTGAGCAGGTTAACCTAGTTGGGAAGGATGATATCTGTATTTGCCTCATTAAAATTTGCAATAACGAGACTACGACGCTTTTGATACAATTTTTGCTTTGCTTTCTTTGTTTTGTTTTAATTAAATTGTTACACTATAAAATCTATTGCCAGGAATTCTAACACTAATTTCTTCAGTCTATATTGTATAATTCGTAACAAAAATGTCGATACAAGTAATTATCAAATATTGAAACCAGTTTGGTAAGCTACATCACGATTGGCGTGCTCGAATGGCGTGCATAAATGGCGCTTATGTTGACTGTTACTTGAGATCAGTAATGTTGTTGATACGTTAGGTGTGGAGTTGTGTTGTCGAAGCGATATGTTACAGCACGCTGCTTAAAACCATCAGATTTTGACCATCTTGCGATTGCAAAATCCCATACAGGGCAGATCCAAGTATCATACATTCCATACTAGGTGTACCAACTCACATCGATTTTGTTTCATTTTTAGCTTGAAGTGCAGTCCACGTGCGATAGTATTTTATCGATATGGATCTGTAAATTTTAATGCAGCATCTAACGCTGAGGTTTTCTATCATTCTCAACACCGCTCGTTCCGTAACTGAAGGAATGCAAAATTTCCTCTCCATACAATATTTCAGTTGTTAACCTAGCATGTATATCTATACAGCTTCAGCTGCCCGCTACAATCACTTTAATCGCTTAGAAGAAAAGCATCCGTTCCTTCGAAGAAGTGTATAATCTGGATTTTCGGGTACGTTACTGAACTAACACAGATCTAATGAGCGTTGCGGGCGTCCTTTATGCTAAATTTAGGTGCTGCTTATTACTTGAAAAAAGTCGTTCGTCACTTAGATATGCGTTAGTGTGATGTAGCTTTGGGTTGCGTTCATGAAGCGACTAAAGTAGTCATATTGTTATACTATATGGAAAGTTGAAGCAGACTTGTGTAGTCGGGTGACAAACGCTGGTTTTCGAATTTAGTACGTCCAAGCACCAAGACAACATTTTGCAGCCATTTAAACTTGTGATGAGACGAGAATTCATCCCTTCTCGGAGTGAAAAATGCCGTCAGGGGCACGCGCACCGTTCACAAAAGGTTGATCATACTGCATCGATGGCTCGTTCCGGCAATATATATATCTCCTCTGCTGACCACGTCACTTCGATTCCGAAAGGCTTGAGCATGGCCATCGTGTGTACCATGGCGACGTGGTCCAAGGCCACGAGGAGTCATTTATGGTGCTTCGATCATGTTTCTCTACTTTGCGAATCAATACGCGCATACCATCGGGTCTCGCACTCTTGCCACTGACACGAGTGCAGACATATGCAAAGCTCGTTGAGACTCACAGCATCGTGAACAGTAATGTCGATAAGCATGTGCTGGCGGCAATCGATGACTGGCAGCTTCTACTGCAGCAATCTCTTCTCTTTAAAATCATGCCGTGCTTTGTCCTTGTGCGATGCTCCGGCAAGTCGAGTGCTTTTGAATAGGAATCACTGCTGCTCACCATGGGCTGATATGACAACGCTCATTCTCGTTCAAGTTATAAAGCACACACGACATCCCCAAGCCTCCGCAGCTGTCGTCTTGCAAAGAACAATGCTTTTTTAACATTCCAAAAGACTGGCGTGTAGTGCAACGGAAAGATTTGAAGTCTGATGAAGTTCCGATGCGTCGTGAATTCAGTACACGGACCTGAACGGAAAGCCGGATGACTGGCCCTGGAGGAATAAGCTGCTGCTAGCCCGTGACTATAGTGGCGACGAATACGTCACTCCTTCTGCTGATGATGTCGTCATGCTTAAGTTAGTCAACCTATCGGATCAGGTCTGCTAGTAAGTTTGCTACTTACGTTGAGCTGGATTGCAAATAGCAAAACTAGTGCTTGAAAGCTACCTAAATAAGTCACCTATTCTCAGTTCAGCGCAATAACACGAAACATGGTAAATGTCGTCTCTCAATGACTCATCCATGATGTGTCTGTGGTAAGAAACGTCTTGCGCAGACGAGGCTTGGAACGGATAGACACTTGTTTATGACTTTCAAATAATGTATGAGCCTTGACTGATCGAGCCGAACCAACAACAAGATCTTCCATATCTATTACTGCCTGCACCTTTGTCCATCACAGCGACATTGGAGGTGTTGATTACAAATACTGCAGCATCCACTGTTCTTGCGTCGCAATTAGCTGAAGCGCTGCAGGCAGGAGAAGAAACATGCACTAATTCTATACAAGCTTGTTGCGCGCCCTGCATTGCTAGTTTCCGTAAACTTCTGGCAACGGCACCGCGCGGTCCGTCCACCAGCAATATGCTCCCACGCAACCTGCTCCAACGTAGTTCATCCTGTGAGATCGCTGTTTCCATCTTGTTGTGGACTTCATCTACCACCACTTTCACGGTTTGCGTCCCGTGAGCACGACTACATGACCTTCAGCGTCACTGTATCCTCAGCTTCTTTCTGCTCTTATCCATCCTCTCGACTACATGACATCTCCTGAAAATTTACATGACACCAAGATCGATGTCGCCAGTCTCTTCGTGTCTTCTATTCGCACACTTGGAGCACTTACTGCCCGATGCAAATGCAGCAACGACGGCATCGACGGAGCTACGATCATTTTTCATTTTCGCCATGTCCTGATGCTGCAGCTTGGTTGACAGCGTGTAGCATACAAGCACGCAGTTACATATACGCTATTCCTGATTTCCTGAATCTGCTTCGTGGCTGGAGCCCGGCCTACAAAGGCTTAAAAGCTATATTTTCTTATTCACTTGTCGAATAAATGTGCGTCTGATTTAGCGTGATACAGCCACCAGGAACATACGCAGCCGGTAGTAGTCTTAACTTGTAGTAACGACGTGTCATTTCTTCCAGGTAAGGCTGTACGCCCGTTAAAACTACATTTAATGCTGCAAATGGTCAGGTCGCGTTGTGATCCATTGCTAACAGGGCTAGCTCACATGCATCCGATTCGATCCTTCTTTTCTTGTCATCAACGTGCCGGTACGCCACCGCTTATGCTACAGTCCATTGCTCGTAATGCTTACCTGCTGAACGCGGCTTCGGCTACATACGGTGCACTCCTCTCTGCTCGCCTTCGCAATAATCCAGCGCTAACTCACAAACAAATATGGACGTAAATAGTTTGCTCTCGATTCGTTGACAATTGCGAATCGACTGAGGTAAACAACCAACAAGCAAGCCGATTTCTCGAGTAAACAATTGCATAACCATTTCCAAAATCTTGACGCTGTCTACAGCCTCTTTTGCAGCACCGATGTGATGACCGTGTCACGGGCGATGTTGCAATCTGGCATTATCCTTCGTCTTTGCGATCGCCTCAGGTTGATCGTCGTATTCGTGGTTGGCGTAGTTGACGTAGCTTCATTGAAGACCACGGCATTCGACACCCCAAGCAGCTGTTTGCAGAATCCAGTTACCGCGCATTATTCAGAGATATACACTTATGAAGCGTAAAAATTCACCTTCATACTAGAACAAATTCTTATCTGCTTTACCGGATACGTCACGGGTCAATTAGTGTATTGTGCATTGGCTTGACGTTATGGCCTAATCGTCGTCGTCGCTACTGAAGAAATTGACATAATATAATTCATGAAACCGCCATCACCCTTAACACTCTGACTTACCGTTGCCGAAGTCATCGAGTTGCTTTCGTTGCCTTACTCGCCTCCGGCAATCCCATAATGTCGTCATTTGTAGTACACCAGTCATTTGAAACGCTTACAGCACCGACATCTTCCCCACTATTGCCGTCAGTTGCTACCCAAGATGCTTCATCTGGCGCACCAAAGTTATTATCTTGGTCGCTACCACCATCGCTCGTTATGAATGGAAATATCATGCCGCCTATAGCACACTGCAAGGGTTTCGGGACGCCATTCCCCAACCATACGCTCAAGGGCAAACTCGAAAGATAAATCCGACCAAGCCCAGTGAGCGTCGTCACAAAATAACTCTTCGCACCAACGACACATTCTTTGTTCCTTTCATCTTCGTAACGGCGCAAAGCACGCTAGGTTAAAGTGCAGCAAGACAATTACTCGAGATACGGAATCCCTCGCCAGGTTACAAATCGTGCATGATGAAAGCTCCAGAGGCACGCACAAGCGCGTCACCGGTACCCGTCAGTCGCTACTAGATGAATTCTCTTCTACCAAAAAGCCGACGATAAATTTCTTGGCAATCTCCTACATACCGCGACCAGCAATACCGAATTCACGTCAATACGAGTCATACTTCCATATTGCAAAATAGAATGCATCACGTAATAGTTCAATGTTGACGGTGTCCAAGCCACACAATATGCCCCCTTTTGGCAAATGATCCACTCGACAAGGACGTCTCGCAGGTGTCAAAGGACGATTTTACCAGGAAAGCTCGTGCCTAGCGCAAGCTTTTCTTATCGCAACCGCGATATGTGAAGCGTAAGTTGAGAAAATTACCACCCGTCATCTTTATTTACACAATTGGAACCTCAAGCATTACTTTAGCTCTGTAACTTACCACTCATGCCTTCGCCGAAGCCTCCAGCGGTACTTTTTCCTTCCTACACCATCAGTCATGTAAGCATAGAACTCGTATGTGCAAGCATTGCTCAGGCTAGAGCTCAGTGTACAACATTATTAGCGCTAGTCAACTATATCTCCACAACTGTAGAAGGCCTCACAGTGAGTGAGATTTTTTCAATTTAACATGCACCACTTGCGAGTCATGACATTTGATAGACAGAACCGTGTCAAACTTGACGGGACAATGACTTCTATTCCCGTGCTGTCGTGGTGAGGCACCGTGGCCGTCTTTATGTCCCCGTTCTTCTCAGCTTGTGTTTAGTCGTTGTGGGGGGGGGGATTTGCAGTAGCTACTGACTATAGAATCGGGACAGGAATGTCACAAATTGTCGTAGGAAGGTTTTACTGTAGTAAACAACGTCTCCTACAGAAATATTGACACAAAGAGTAGCGATGAGTAACAGTTCTTTTAGAATAATGTCCGCCATGGACAATTACATACTGATATAACATACCGTTCTTGCGCGTGATAGCCTCTCATGCATCACAAGTACAGATGAGAGCAGTTGGATCTGTAGCTGGTGCGCTAGGTGTTTAATGAATGCTGTCTTAAGCACCTGTTGAAGTAGCAATCGATGCAGCACCAGTTTGTGACGACAATAATACCTTGCAATAAGCGCGATCGTTGGCCCACAGCAGCGTCTCCTCCTAGTTGGGAGGCGGCGTTCTCTTCGCGCGCTTTTATAAATTCGTATGGGAGTATTTTACGCCCCCGTACTGCAAAAATTACCGAGACGAGTTTGAAGCTTACGCAAAATTGACATTAATTTTTAGACTATCTCCTTTTCCCGCCTATACAAGGATCGACTGCAGAGGCTTTCAGTAATTTGAATGAAAGGAGGGGTGGCATGAAATTGTTTCCTATATTGTTTCAAAATGAAATAGGAGGGGTAAAGCGCTGGTCGTGCCCGATTTTTTACCTCTTGCGAAGGATAAATTTGACGCCAACGGTAATTTTTCACTACGCTCAATTCGTCATTTGTGAAAAGTCCAAAATCTGCTCAAGAGCCCGCGCAACCAGCCAAGAGTTGGTTGTCTCAGAAACTTTATTGACGCACGTAAAGCAACAGGTATGACTCAATTCTAGCAAGCGTTAGTTTCAGAGCATTCCTCACTCTTTTCCTATCGCTGGACTCCTTTTCCCTCTTGTGTCGTTTTCGGATGACGTGAGAAGGCGTATACCGTACGAAGGGAAAGGGGGGGGGGAATTGACGATTTGCGGACTTTCTCCTTTTCTCTTGTTTGTATTATACTAATGCTCTCATTGCTGTCTAACAGACATTATGAGAGAGCTCGTTCATATCCAGGGTGGTCAGTGCGGAAACCAGATTGGAGCCAAGTTTTGGGAGGTCATTTCCGACGAACATGGCGTGGATCCCACCGGCTCGTACCACGGTGACTCGGACTTACAGCTTGAGCGTATTAACGTGTATTATAATGAGGCTACAGGTGGACGTTACGTACCTCGCGCTATCCTTATGGATTTAGAGCCTGGTACCATGGACTCAGTCCGCGCTGGCCCCTATGGCCAGCTCTTCCGTCCGGACAACTTTGTGTTTGGTCAGACAGGTGCCGGTAACAACTGGGCCAAGGGGCACTACACTGAGGGCGCCGAGCTCATTGACTCGGTGTTAGATGTTGTCCGCAAGGAGGCGGAAAGTTGTGACTGTTTGCAGGGTTTTCAAATCACGCACTCTCTTGGTGGCGGTACTGGCTCCGGTATGGGAACGCTTCTGATTTCGAAGATTCGAGAAGAGTATCCGGACCGTATCATGTGTACATACTCGGTGTGCCCGTCCCCGAAGGTGTCAGACACAGTTGTGGAGCCCTATAACGCCACGTTGTCTGTGCATCAGCTCGTCGAGAACGCCGATGAGGTCATGTGCCTTGACAACGAGGCCTTGTATGACATTTGCTTCCGTACGTTGAAGCTGACTACTCCCACTTATGGCGATTTGAACCACTTGGTGTGTGCTGCTATGTCTGGCATCACTACTTCTTTACGATTCCCTGGACAGCTGAATTCGGACCTGCGGAAACTGGCTGTGAACTTGATCCCGTTTCCGCGTCTCCACTTTTTTATGATTGGTTTTGCCCCGCTGACATCGCGTGGTTCTCAGCAGTACCGTGCTTTGACGGTGCCCGAGCTGACGCAGCAGCAATTTGATGCTAAGAACATGATGTGTGCCGCCGATCCTCGGCACGGCCGTTATTTAACTGCTGCCTGTATGTTCCGAGGACGTATGAGCACGAAGGAGGTGGATGAACAAATGTTGAACGTGCAAAACAAGAATTCATCGTACTTTGTCGAATGGATTCCCAACAACATCAAGGCTAGCGTGTGTGACATTCCACCCAAGGGCCTAAAGATGAGCACTACCTTTATCGGTAACTCAACAGCCATTCAAGAGATGTTCAAGCGTGTTTCTGAACAGTTTACGGCCATGTTCCGACGCAAGGCTTTCTTGCACTGGTACACTGGTGAGGGTATGGATGAGATGGAGTTTACAGAGGCTGAGTCGAATATGAACGATCTTGTATCTGAATACCAGCAATACCAGGACGCGACTGCAGAGGAGGAGGGTGAATTTGACGAGGACGAGGAAATGGATGAGATCATGTAGAGGCTATATATGGCTGCACCCTTGCTAGTCGCTTGCGTAACTTAGCTATCGACGCCCGGAGAGGTTAGTTGCTTGGCATCTACAGAACAAAGATCATATTACTTTGCTTTACGTGCTCTTATCACTACATATGAATTCAATGCAAAGTCTGTTGGTATCGCGCCAAATAATGCTCTGTAAACAACTAGTTGACACACCTTTACGATTTGATAGTTGTGCTCGTGTTTTCAATAATTTTCTTACGTTGCAATTCGTGTGTTGTTGTGGACATCTTGGAGACCAAAGAATTGCTGCAAGCCTTTAGTTTATCCAGTGCTTTAACAACTGATGTCTCCATCAAGTGGTGATTAGGGCGTCAACATGAATACATACTTATTGTATACTTAACCATCTTGCGGGTCTAACGTGGAGTTACTAGATTGCTTCGTAACTGCATCGCTACCACGTACAAACTGAGGCGGCGACAAATGCGCCAAACTCGTCGAGGTCACAGGTAGATAGATGGATACAATGCGTCCAGCTTCTGCCCTGCGTCAATGTTTATTAATCAAACGAAGACTGAAAAACAGCAAGCTGGTAGGTATTCCATAAACAGCTACAGTATTACAACAAATTTGCTACCAATAGGGTCGACAGTGAGTCATGTAGCTACGATTTGAGCATCAGTATTTGTTTAAAAGCCTTCCGTTGCCACTTGTAATTACTTGGCAGTCTGTAGCTTAGCCCGATTGGCTGGGATGCGCCCTGGGATCTATGCAAACAATTAAAAACGTAAGTATCCATTATATGACAATCTCTGCTAAATAGCTCATCCATATCACCAAGTCTGGTGCATAATTGCACACCAAAATTATCATATAGGTTTCGTACTGACCAGGACATCGGGGTTCTTGGGGTCCTTGACCCACGTAATGTTGCTCACGTTGGCGCTCTCTTTAAAGAGCAGCAGAAACTCGCCTACGCGCTCCGCTTTGCCACCCCATAAATAGATGCGGTTGCTCTTTAGCACTACTTGCGTGCCAGACAAAAGCAAGATATCTCCCAGTTGCGCCTGCAGCGCTGTTGTCTTGGGTAGCACGAGGCTCACGCACCCCGAGTCATCGCCTATTAGTAGCGTCGCATTGTTGCTGGTGTTACCTTCGTCGAAAACGTTACATTCTAGCACAATCGCCTTCACGTTCACCTCCTTGCTGCAAAGCAAAGGGCTTAGCTCCTTTATTCGTGTCAGAACTAGCGGCTTCTTGCTGCTGCGACTTGCCATAGCGATGTGCTGGGTAATTTTATAAAGGATTTTGCATAAATACCCTGGAAAAGCAACGAGGTATTTACAGCTCTTTATTAACCTTGCTCATTTTGAAACTTTCTTATTAGAATAATCCTGTTATCAAAAACGTCTTACCACGATATTTCAAGCTAGTCAATGGAACATTGTCAAAAATTAAGTCGGCGTCCTAAACAAGCCCTACTGCTGTCTTTCCAGTACGGATCTTAATAGTGAGTTTTTACCCTACAAACTCCCAATTCATGTATATCGTTAATAGGCAAACTTTACGGTTGATGTCCCAATAATGTGTTACGAGTAATTTTTTTGAACATCCTATTAGCGTCGAGCATTTGTCGAAGTTTCATTGATTGATTTCTCCTGCTCGTGAATTTAGTAGCCAGGAGATACTAAAACTAATAGCACTCTCTCTTTTGCATCTAATTGTATGTCCTCTCTTCACGCTTTGTATGGGTCTTTTACAGGTTATGAGCACAAAGCATGCTGCACACCGAGGCAGTGCGCGCGCGGCGCGCACGCTAAGCATCCGGCACGAAAGGACCAGTAAGTATTGATAAATTAAAAAAAGACAAACTTGGCATTGTCCATGCGGTGGACGATGCCATCGCCATAAGGAACGACGCGTCAGAGCTCCTGGTGCTGATGAAAGGGATAATCGAACGAGAGGAGTCGCAGACGCTGTTTATGAACGACGGGGAAGGGCGTGGGAGACAAAGGGATATCCCTTTGACTCCTCTTTGGAATTCAAAGTTGTTTGTTTCGGCCCTTGGCAGAAGCACAAGAATGCACATGGACAATTTTGAAGTCTCGATTTTTTATTCCGAGGAGGCCGGTAAAAAAACACATGAACTTTGATCATGGACAGCCCGAGTACGGCGGATCAATAATGCAATGACGATTAAAGTTGATCGATGACTTGGAATATTCGTAATGTTGTCTGACGATGCGGGTCATGGATACATACACAATTAAGACCAAGATGGGTACGATCAAGCTCATGCACACCAGATTCAAGTAAGACATATAGGTGAAAGACAAAATACTTGGTTTTGGGCCATTTATGGGCGTGAGCTGTATAAAGAACTTGGCTCTAGGTTTTTGGAGTGGGGTCGAGAATTCAAGCAACCAATTTTGTGGTGAAGTATGTTTTCAAATCTGCGTAATGAAACCCCAAACCACTCACTGTGCCGGACTGCCGACTGTCGGAGGGGGTGGTCTTTCAAGGTAGACCCCGGTCTTTTCAAGGTCGACACTGGTCCCTCGTTGGTAAACCTTGGTCTTTAGCGTGGAGTGTGGTGAGAAATAAAAGTGGCGCAAGGCTCGAGGAATGAAGGGAAAAAGGATTCAAAGACATGCGCGTGTTGAAGCGGCTGTACCGTTGATCAAGTACAAAGGTCAGCTGTGGTGAAGCGTTTCAAGATTCGGTAGGCCAGAAGACCGGTCAGTCAAAGAGAAGGGGACCCACCAAGGAGGAGCGACCGTTAGGTAAGGGACAGAGAGACGCGGCGCTAAAAAGAGACGGGGAATGACCGTTGGATGAGGCAAATGTACGGTATAAGCGTGCCCCATTCAGAGGGTTTAACCGCGGTTAGTCCGATGGACCATGGTTCCTAGAGGTGGACCCCTGTTTTTTTAGGTTGACCTTGGTCCCTCCTTGGTAGGCCCTGGTATTTTAAGATTGACCCTGGTCCCTCGTTGGTGGACCCTGGTTCCTAGTTGGTGGACCCTTGTCTTTTGTTGGTAGACCTTGGCCTTTCGTTGTGGTCCCTGGCCCCTCGTTGGTAGACCCTGGTCTTTTGTTGGTAGATCCTGGTCTTTTGTTGGTAGATTCTGGTCTTTAAAGGTCGACCCTGTTCCCTCGGCCCCTCGGTCACCCGTTCACCTCAGGCCCTATGTCCTCGGTTACCCGGCACCTCGGCTCCTCGGCAAGCAGAATCAAAAATCAGGTCTCGGGGGTAAGGATAGAGTAAAGAAGTGAAAAGATAGGACCATATTAAATACTTCTAAATCTGGGATCTATATAGCACACCTTCGTCGTGCTTCCAAGATACTTACTAAGTCTACCCACCTGTTCCGGGAAGGAATACATTTTGGCCCCCCGTCGAATACAGTTGTGTGGTAAGACCCAAGTGCGAATAGAACCCCAGGATACATTTGGCCTGTGGGTTCGTCCGAGCAGCCCCCCAACTCAACCCGCTATCGGAAGCGGTCTCCGTACCATAGTGCTCTGAGAGCAAGTAAAGGCCAGGCGGTTAACACCCCTGAGATATCAAGGAGGGAATTGTTCAGGGTTGAATATCTTCCCTGAATAATTTGGTCATAAGTCCACCTTCGACCTAGTCGATTAAGTGGCCACCTATCCGTCTACCGAGTGAAGTGAGCGCGATTGTATAAACAGAAGGCTTCCGCGGATCAACGCGGACGCAAGAATTTAGAGAAGTTCCGTGATGTTATCAACGACAGGCATTTAAAAGGCATCTATGACAAACTTCGGTCCAAAAAACGGTCACCGCGCTATATTGGACCGTTCAAGGTCGTCAAGGTTATGGGAATTGCCTACACGTTTGATATACCTACGGCAATGCGAGTTCACTGGACCTTTTACGTCGGGCGACTCAAACGCTACTGGCCGGCCCTCCTCCCGACTGATCAGGAGGTGCCATCGCGATGGCATAACGTGGTCCGCGGTACTTTGGCTTTATTGGAGGATCCGGTTGACGGTCCCCTCGCAACACCGCATTGTCCTTCCGAAGAGCCACGTTTGACTGTTCCAAACGTTCCAAGCAATCTGCCAATCTGGCAACAGTCGAAGACACCTGCTCTATTCGCGAGTCAGCAAGCTCAGCCAGTTCCCTCGCCTGCCCAGCGTCATATTCAACACACCCAACGCGCTGTTGATGCTCGCGAAGATCCTTCGCGAGAGACTTGGTCATGTCAGACGCCGCCAGACTTGCAGGCACCTCATGCACACTTCCACTGCGATGGTACTCCCCCGCTGATTGATAGCGCCGGGAATCCGCGCTGGATTGTCGATGAGATTCTCGAGCATCGCGACCCATCGACTTTTTGAATCACCGCGCCTCTAGTCATGGCGTCCCACGGCGATCTCGGACGGTCGTCAATATCGCGTTCGCTGGCTTGGTCTCCTTCCCACGAGCAATTTGTGGGAGCCTCGCTTCATTCTTCTCGCCGTCGTTCCAGACGGGGTGAAGGCGTACGACGCCGAGGCAAACGTGGTGTTTCTCGCGGTCGAGGACTTGCCGACCGCGAGCGTGAACGTGAATCACGTGTCGATCGAGTACGTGCACGACCGAGCAGACGTACATGCTTAAAATTCGAGAGAGCACGTTTGTATCTCCCTATCCACGGGTCCTCTTCTTCCGTCATTAGATATTGCGCAAAATTTGACTCCCACTCGTCGCGGGTTGGAGCTTGCTCATCGCGACAAAATCGACATCCCTCGCGCCTTCGTACGAAGCAATACGGTCGTCCAGCGTTCTAAGACAACGTACACACCTTCTCACGCAAGTCGAAAAGCCCATACTTCTGGCGTTGTTCCTCCAAATGCGGTAATAATTCGCCGATGTGGTTCCGAGCTCCAGCGTCGCACGAACGCAGTCCATGATTTGTCAAACGAGTTTTGAGTCACGGCTATGTTAGCTGTGACGGGTTCCCTGCGTGTTTCTCTCTACCTTTTTCACATCTCAGCCATGACATAGTCCCCACGTGATTGCTGGATACCACTGTAGTCATACAAGGTCCAAACTCGCAAGGTATTTACGTGTCTTCTCGGTGGATTGAAGGTTGGAAAAGGCACCGCAAGGTTTTCGCGCGGTGCCGAAAGTGGTTGGCGAATGAGTGAAGCAGTGCAAGTTACACGGTGCGTGTCTGTTGTGCCTTGGTCCCTGGTATTTGCTATTTTGGGTGCGGGGTGGTGTAACGGGGTCGTACTGTTTTACGCCATATCAAGTTACGATATGGCAATAATAACGTTCCCGTTATTAGGCATAATTAGGCAGACAACATAGAGAATATTACATACAGTAGGAAAAGGAAAAGATACGTATAGCGTATCTTTAAGTGTCATTATTTGATTGGTTAAAAGTGAGTTTTGGCCCCATTTCACTCAATTGCTGTTTGACTCGTGTTTGAGCGGTTCACAGAAGGTTCAGGATTTAAGATCTAGCCTTAATCATAAATTAGAGCTTAAAGTAGTCTTAAGTACACAAGTAAATTGCACACTTCTTACGCTTCCTCGTAACACCTTTAGTGTAAGCTACGTAACGAATATCTCGCCCCGTTACACCGGGGAGGGGACAATTTAATGCGCCCAACATAGAATGTCGGGCGCAAACGCATAGTGGTAGGTATGACTAGCGTGTAGGCATCTATATGTACCTTGACAATCCGGACGGGACCAATATACCTTGGTACTAATTTGTTAGCGCCCAAATTCGTCACTGATGTATCTGGCAGACACACTTGTCGATAACAGGGATCTATCGCCTTCGGTTAAATGTCAACATGTGCTTTTGACCTCGCTTTTCCGTGTTCTCTTTTTGCTTGTCGACGGCTTGTTGAAGGGCATCACGTACCAAACGCGTGATGCCACGTCGTAGTAATAGAAAGGCAGTCACAGTAGCCGATCTAATAGGTGAAGTGAATTATTTAAGAGCAAAGTTACCGACGGGAGACGTTTTGGATGCATCGTGTCGGGACTTGATATGTCGTTGGCCACAAAATTAACAGCATGAGATTCATCGGTAGCCACCTTGTCGTCAACGTAATCAATCATTAATTTTTTTGGTGCAATGCCATCGTCAGGTAATCTCCACCAAGCGTATAAACCGTGTGTGGTGAAGCTGAGAGAGCAAGAAGCGCTGGAACGCGAGAGTGCCTCGCGGTGCTCACGAAAAATGGCGTCAATCCTGTTGACTCATGGACTGCATTGGTGATTGCAAATTTGGTGAGTGGAAGGCATGAGCTCCACGACGTGAACGATGCCGCATAACTGCGCAGGATATCTTAAGGCACTCGATTATTACGCTCCGCTTGCCCATCCGTTTCTGGATGGGCAGCTGTAGACATTAGCAAACGCGTGCCCAGTAGTTGAAAAAGATCTGCCCAAAAAACTTAAGTAAAGCGCGGTTCACGGTCTGAGACTATGGATTATGGCAAGCCGTGGTGCTAGATTATGAGATCAAAAAAGATCTTCGCGGTTGTTTCCGCCGTAATGTGCGCGAAGACTGGAGCATAGTGCACCATTTTGCTAAATTGATCCATTAGAACCAAGACATCCGGTGTGAGACCAAAGATGAAAACCATACTGACTGTGCGCCAGGCTTCCGTAGGAATCAGAAGAGGTCGTAATGGGGCTTGTAATGACGGCGCAGGCTATACACGCTGGCATATTTTGCAAGAGCGTACCCATTTATGAATGTACTTGTACATGCGTGGCCAGAAAAACATTCGAGAAATGGCCGCGAACGTGTTTTCGCGACCTAGATGACCACCAACCGTAGTGACATAAGTTTCATGCACTAATCGTGCTCGAAGGTCGTCATCAGCAGGGATGACGACGCGCTGTGGGTCAAACACGTCCATTGTGTACGTCAGTAGCAAACCATCACGCGCGTAACGCTTGATGTTTCCACACGTTGGTTTCGGCAGCTTTGGGAGTGACCCTTCACTAGGGTGTCGATTAGAGTTGATAATTCCCGAGTTGAAGGAAACATTCGTATAAGACTTAGCAACATGAGTCCAAACTGATAGCACAGGTATCGACACCATTGCATTGAGCTCCAGCTCGGTACAGCACAAACAATGCCATCGTCCTCTTCATCAGCACTACCTGGATGATGGCCCATGTCGCGTCGAGTGTTGTAATTAGGACGCCGAGAACGCGCGTTAGCAAGAATGCTATTTTTGCCGGGCTTGTGAAACACTACGAAATTATACTCTGAGAAGAAAGACGACCAATGAGCCATACGCTGAGACAGGTGAGGGGTCTTGACTACGGTACGCAGTGATGCGTGATCTGTATATACTGAAGACATCTTCTCGCCGAGTGAACATACCCTGAATTTGATAAGCGCATAACGCATAGCCAAAAGCTCATTATCGTGTACGGGATAGTTTCTTTCGGCAGATATCATCTGTCGCGACGGAAAACTCACGACGCGGTCTCGGCCCCAGTGGACCTGTGTCGACCCTTTCTAAGCTGAGGACGGTGACAGACGCGATCCCCGCGCTCGTGACCCTTCTTCGCGAGGTGGGTATGGTTGCAGGAAGATTTGAGCCTGAACACTTGTTTTTTCTGGGGTTTAACAGTATCAAGACCACGTTAGAAATCCTACACAAACGTCTCGGTATTCTTGTGGGAAAACCCCAGTACTACTCGACTCACCTCCTGCTACCGCTGCAAAAGCACCGTCTGACGACAGCCAGATGGCCCTGCAAGACATCGAGGTCCACCCTCAAGGCAATGGTCGACTAAGGACCCATGGTCTATTCGAGGTCCATCACAGACCACCTTGCCTCAGGTCCACAGGTTCCTGCAAGGCAATCATCGCGAAGGTCGCCCGTCGCTAGTCACGTGGGCCGATTGCCACTAGGACCGAACGGCATGTCGCCGCTGCACGCCCGAGAAGAAAGGGCGGACGACGAGCAGTGAGCTCACGAAACGGCCACGAGTGTACAGCCAAGGGAAAGTCGGGCTTCTGATAGGTCGGCTTTTCAATCAATCAGAAATGAGCCAAGACTATAACCCAAATTGCACCTCGTCACGTGTTACCCGAGGAGGAGTGCCTACCGTCCCGGTAGGTAATTTACAGGCATACTTCGACGTGACGATTCCGAAATTCTTACAAGAGCGCCAAATACCGCAAACACACATCGATGGAAGTGCGGCCAGAGGACGACAGAGGGCACGGAGGTCAGCGGCCCAGATGGGCTCAAGTGCAGGTATGCAAGTTGCAAGGGACCAGGGGATGACCGACGAGGAGATGGAATCGGTTGGTTTGTGTGAATACGACCCAGACGACATGGACCTCGATGGACCTCTGGCGAGGATGGCCAATGCTACCCTGGGACAGGTGCCCAACATGGTCCCTCGTATTAAGCTCTTAGCGACCTCGGATCTCAAAAAGTTTCATGGTACAGACCAAGATGAGGACCAAGCACGCAGCTGGGTGAAAACAGTGAAGACCGCGTTCACGAGGGACCAGGCGCCAGATGAGGAGAAGTGTCTCGGTTCCGGAGGATTAACGACTGGACCCAGCCAGGACTGGTTTCGTCAACTAGGTCGCTCTGTTCGTGAAAATTGGAAGGATTTGCTACAGGAGTTCCAGATACAGTTTTGTGGTTTGGGGGTGCCAGTGGCCCGCCAATATACCACGCGAAGAAAAGGCTGGGCGAATTTCCGCTGGACAACCTGTACCGTCTGAATGTCATTAGACTTCGAGCAAAAATCAAGATCAAGGATGGGCCGCCTAAGATTCAAAAGGAAAATATTGAGCACTATATTGAGACTTGGACGAACCCGACTTGGTGGACCAGTTGACCGTGTTACGTTTGGCTGATGTGGAAGAGTTGGAGGATGTAATGAGGGCGCGTCAACCGACGAAAGCTCGACGAGGCAAGGGGTTATTTGGGTCAGCCAAGTTTTGCTAGAAAGCACTGATTACCTCAGATCGGCCAAGGGAGTTGAGTCGCTTCTCTGTCTATGCAGCTCGAGCGACCCAGGAAGGATCAAACTCCGAAGACCCCGGTTTGGACGGTTCTGATAGTGACTGTGACCTACGAAAGGTCAACCTCATGGCTACGGAGACGGGTAAGGACCAAGGGCCGAGAACTCCGAAGGACCGACCCATCAGAGAGGTCGACCAGCCCCGACCCTCGACCAAGGACCATGGACATCGCACGGCGTCGAAAACCTCAAGTGCAAGATGCGCCCATTGTGGCTCTACGAAGCATGGAGACTTGTTCTGTTGAAAGAGGCTGACTTGCGATCGCTGTGGGAAGAAGTGCCATCCATCACATTGTTGCTTGTTCGTATGTCAACGTTGTAAAGAAACCCACGAGGTCGAGAAGTGCCCGATGGAAGAGTTTTATAACTTGATCCGTCAAAAGTACAACCCGACCAAGCACGCTAGGATGTTGCCGGAGAAGATCGAGCAGATGTTAAATTAGGACGCTCGCCAGGTTTGAATCTGGTACGAGCCGAGCGTTCTTATTGCTGCATTTATGCATATGTGGAAAAACGACCCAAGGAAGGAAGGGACATTCAGGATAGCTCGATGGGAAATATATCGAAGTTTGAAAGTTACCCTAGCGTCATGTTGCTTCTTTCGGTGCGTCTAACAGTTGTGCTCGGGAAAGTACAGTAATGGAGTTGGACTGGCTGCCCGGCGAGTCGAGGGGTATTGGAAAAAACAATCTCTTACGAAATGGTCTGGACAGGCCAAGGCCTCTGGAAAGGTTAACGACGATTGAGCAAACATGTTGTTTGATACTGGCGCCGAGATATCTATTTTAGATATCGCCTTTGCTCCTAAGGTAGGCTGCCAGATTGATGAAAGTGAGCGCCAGGAAATTGTTGGTATCGGAAAATATGTATATACCACGGAAAGACGCACCCGTATCAAGGTCACTCTAAATGGGAACTTGGTATACATTTTTAAGGTGAGGGTGGGACCGATGGTGGGTCAAAACGCAATTTCAGGCATGAAATTCATGGTCCCAGCCGGTATTCGACTGGACCTGGCGGATGGGACACTATGTCTGCCCGATGATGTTCGAGTCCAGTTAGCAGGACGAAGGGCCCTGTACGATAACCGGGTATCAGACATGAAGCTGGGTCGATACGTGCAGATACCGGCTGGGGTAAGAGGAAGTGCCTCTAAAACGGTCGACCTCGCACCAATGGAAGTTGTGGGTCACAAGGGGAGAACGGTGGATCATGACCGTGAACCAAGGGGTAGGAAGTCGGAAGTTGCTGAAGGTAACGAATATCAGCGCCTAACCCCAGATTTTGCACGAGGACACCAAGAAAGGTATGTGGCTGACAAAGGACCAAGTACCAAGGGAGCAGGGTTTTGTGTCGGTGGGGTCTCTAAGATATGCCGAGAGGTTAAAACTTGTCTATGAATCTACCACCGACCAGGTCGACTATCAGGAAGACCTGACGGGGAAGGATGAAGGACCATTGGTGGAGGTGCCACAGTACAGTACTCCCATTAGAATACTTTCACGTCCAAGGATACTTGTTTCTGTAAGGGCTATGGCATTCCAGCCGAAGGTCGACCATGAAGAACCTCAGGTCGACCGGGTTGACCCTGAGGTCGACCAGGTAGACCTTGAGGTTGACCAAGTGGGGTGGACGAAAGAAGGCTAAGGATCGCTGATAGAGTCGCCACAAGCGGATGACAAAGTGTGCACGTTCGATAGTGGGGAACTCTGGGCCGAAGATGTAGACCAAGGATGGGCTATCATACCGGAGTTTGACCCTTTACATACGAGTATCAAACTGGAAGATAAACAGATTCCTGACTCTGACGGAAACACCCCAGAGGAGGTGGACCGACTGAGACAAATTATATGGAGAAGGCGACATCTACTCAGGGGAAAGGGCAACGCCTTACCACCGGCTTCTCGAGGAGCTATCTGTGACATTGATGTGGGTAATGCCAAGCCGATTGCACAACGTGTACGGAAGGTTCCCCCCCAGTTCGAAGAAAAGCTGGCCGATCTGATCAAGGGACTATTATCTGCGAAGATCATCCAGCCTTCTACCTCGCCATGGCCATCCTAATCGTCATTATCGTGAAGAAAATGGGGTGGATATCAGGCTTTGTATTGATTATCGTTGGTGAACGACTTGACCCAGCTTATGGTCTACTCCATGCCTCTATTCGACAAATTGTTGGAAAATCTCAACGGAACATTGAGGTACTGCTTCCTGGATATGGAAAGTGGTTTTTGGGTCGTCGGCATGACCGAAAGGGCGAGAAGAATTTCAGCGTTTGTCACCCCATTGAGGTTGTTCGAATGCCTGTGGATGTCATTTCAACTCAAGAATGCGCCTCAGATATATTAGAGACTCTTGGATAATGCTTTGTATGGGTTTTTACGTATTTTCCAAGGATCTGGTACAGAGGAGACCGAAGATTTGTTTGTGATGGGGAAGCCTGATGTAAAGTCGGGCCCCTCGGTACTGGGTCGGCATATTACATAGATGACATTTTGATCCCGGCCTACTCGTGGGATTTGTTGTGCGCCAAGGTTAAGCGACTATTAGATGTGTGTGACTATTGGAACATATCGACCAGCGCGGTCAAGAGCTCATGAGGGTGCCAGGAGGTAGAATACCTTGGGCACCGGATCTCGGACCAAGAATTACTAGAGGTCCACCAAAAAGACCTCCAGTCCTTGGTCGACCAACCGTTGCCAACGACACTCAAAGCCATGCAATCGTTTCTTGAAAGTTTGAATTACTATAGTAGATTCATTGAAGATTGTGCAATGCATGCATCGATCCTCTATGAGTTACGGAAGTGGATTTAACGATTGGCGATGTAAGTTGAAGACGGGTGAGAGTAAGGCGGATAAGGCAGAAGACGAGATGAAATGGTCCAAGGTCCACGTAGCCTTCGCAATGCTCAAGAACAAGATTGCCACTGCACCTATCTTGCGACACTTTAACCCGTCCAAGGAGGCAGTAATTATCATCTATGAAAGAAGAATGCAAGTTTGGCCGTTTTGGTGCTAGCGACGCATTTTTCGCCACGATCAAGAACCAGGATTCATGTCAAATTTCTTTCGGGCGTTTAGTCGCATGTTGGGCTAGCTTCAACAGGTGACCATGGCCTATCAACCTCAAACGAATGGGATCGCGAAGAGAATGGTTCAGAATCTGACTAGGTCCATCAAGAAGTATGTCTCTGATGTTGGACAGCAGGTTTGAGACGAGTATGCAGAACGACTATCGTTTGCGATGAACGCCGCCCACGACCGAGACCGGAAGAAGACGCCGTTCTACCCGGTCTATGGTTGGAATGCTAGGACCACATTCGAGGCTACCTTACCTGTGGTAAATACGCGACGTAGGAGATCTGGGCCACGCAGATGGAGATATCACATTCAGCAACACTATCAGCGGGCGAGAGCCCAGGTGAATGAGAACCTACGAGCGGTCAATCAAGCTCGTATCCGAGCCCATGATGAAGGAGTGGTCGACCACACGATCCAGCCGGGAACTCAAGTGTGGCTCTACCTGGACCGGATGAAAAAGGGGTACGCCAAGAAATTGGCCACCTCTGGCATGGACCATTTCAAATTTTAGAGTTAATGAGAGAGTACGCAGCACGTTTGGAAACTAAAGGCACGGAGTACAGGGTATTTCCTGTGGCACATCTATCCAAACTCAAGAGAGTCAGAGAGTTTCCCGACCGACCTAGTGCCGCGTTAGAGACGAACGGACTAGATTGGGTCGACTTCGATGAATGCCTGTTCCCAGAGGACAGTTGGGCAAGAGATCTGGAAGAAGAAGAGTGCAAGGTCGAGGAAATCTTGGAAGCCCGCAATGGAAAGAAAACACGTTACGGAAGACAGCAACGAGAGCTCCTCGTCCGGTGGAAAGGGCATGAAGACCCCTCGTGGGTAGATGAAGTGGAATTGAATTGAGGAGCCTCACTTCGAGATTTCGAACGCAAGGAGACAAGAAGGAATCGTTTTGAAGCGATGCAAAATCATGAGGAGTAGAGGCCAAGACCGAGGATCCTAGGTGGCCTATCAAAGTCTACTATGGGTAGACCCCGATCCCTCGTTTGTAGACCTTAGTCTTTCGATTAGACCCCAGTCTTTTTGAGGTAGAACCTGGTCCCTCGCTGATAAACCCCGGTCCCTCGTTAGTAGACCTTGGTCTTTCGTGGTAGATCCTGATTTCTTGTTGGTATACCTTGGTTTTTCAAGATAAGCCCCGGTCTTTTCGAGGTGGACACCGGTCTCTCGTTAGTAGACCTTGGTCTTAAGCGTGGAATGCGGTGGAGAAAGCAAAGTGGCGCAAAGTTCGAAGGAAGAAGGGAAACAAGAGATTTAAGATAGAGACTGAAAAATATGGGCGCAAGTATAGTACGGAAACGCTTACGGTTTAGGGACGAACTTGTCCCGGAGACGCGGCACCGAGTACCCAGGATGGGGTTCGGGCAAAAGTCGGTACTGGGAATTCATGGGTAAGTGGAGTCGGAGACCCTCACGGCGTCCATCAGGTCGGTGAGATCTGGCCCTCCCTTGCACTCTTGGAACCAGTATACTACGCAGTGAGGTCGGGAAAGGTGCCGAAAATAGGGGTCGGGTAGGATGTCGAGGTCGCACAGACCGTCACTCATCCCCTTAAAAAGTAGGTCGACCACCACTCGCCACGCCCGAATCGCACGAACCCGTCATTTCTTCCGGGCGTTGTAGTACGACGAGAGGAAGGAGCTGGAGAGCGCTTGGTCTTTTGAGAGCCACAAGATGTGGGTGGCCTCCCAGATCGCCTGGCTGTGGTCTTCATCGAAGCGCAAGTAAGTCGCCTCCAGCTCTGCAAACCAGCTCACTGGATTGTAGACACTGGGGGAGGGGGGTCGACACTCGAGCAGACATTCAGGGGCGGGCGGCCAAGAGGTTCGGAGCATCGAGGAGTTGACCAACGACGACTTCCATTTGGAAGGTCGATCAACCTTTCCATCTGGTGGGCCAAACCAGCCCCAAGGCAACTCCAGGCGGTCGTTCGACCAAGTCGCCGGGGATCATCGTCACGACGCTTACCGAGCTGACCATGTCGACCGACCAGGGCTCCAACTTCGCTGCAGTAAACGACTTCACCTGCATGTACTTAGGGATGAAGTCACCCTTCAGAAGTTTGGGTGACTCCTCCTGGGGGAGAGTCCTCCTTGGTGACTGATGCTGGAGCCCTCTCTTCCCCGGGACCGACTCGACCTCGGTGTCCGAAAATCCAAACATGGCGCGGACTAATCCTTGACAGTGTTGACCGGTCATGACACAGAGTCAGCCGAGACAGCTGGGAGCGGCGGGTCGGTAGGCGTCGTACGACGCCGGGAAGACCGCGATCTAGCCAAGGCCACCCGGACCACTTCACTGTCATCGCTCACGGTGTCATCCTTAGGTTTCGGAGAGGGTACCAAAAGTAGACCCTAAGAGGTCCCCGACTTCGGCGTCGACGAGGCGGGAGTACTGGAGGCGCTATACTTGGCAGCCTTGGGTACCTTAGCGGTCGCCTTGGCCAGGGAACATTGAGGTCGTTTACCCGTCACCGCGGTGGGAGGTACTGCGGGAGCAGTCACGGGAGGAGCCGCGAGATCCTGGAAGGGACTCGTGCAACAATCCTCGCGCCCCAACTCCGCCACCATAAGAGCGTAGCGGCTCTGGCGGTAGTTCATCCGCCACCGCAAATGCTCCGCCAGCGATCTCTCTTGCTGGAGCTCTTCGCGTAACTGATCCGCGACGCGGCGGGTGTCTTGCAGCTTTTTTATAAGGAGCTCACATCGGGTGATCCAGTAGGCGTCGGGGGTGAGGACGGCGGTAGGTCAACCTTCGCACGCCTCAGGTCTTCGACTTTATCCATCTAAACGGTCTTGCAAATCACTTAGCACCGAAGGCGTGTCTACAGGATCGCCCATCGTAGCTGGAGAAGCACTCGACGAAACAACGAGCGAGACATTGGCGACCGTCCCCACGGAATCCACCGCAGCAGAGGAGCTAGAGGTCGGCTGAGGGCCTTCCATATCTGAGGGACCCTCATCACCTACGACATTAGAAGAAACCGCTGTGGACTTCCTTGGCCCGGGCACCTGGAGAGGAGTATCGGTTGGCGTTTGTGAGGGAACCTGAGCCTTTGGTTCAACGGCAAGGGCAGGAGCGTCCAAGAACGGCCCCTCAGCCGTTTGGACTATTTAAGAAGAAGGAACAGATGAGATGAGTCAAGTCAGAAAACGTCAATTGAACGGCCACACAAACAAGGAGTACTTACAAGATGGAGGATTTGAAGACATGCGCGTGTTCAAGCGGCTGTACCGTTGATCAAGTGCAGAGGGCGGCTGTGGTTAAGGTTTCAACAATTGGTAGACCAGAGGACCGGTGGGTCAAAGAGAAGGGGACCCACCAAGGAGGAGCGATCGTTAGGTAAGGGACAGAGAGACGCGGCGCTAAAAAGATACGGGGAATGACCGTTGGATGAGGCAAATGTACGGTATAAGCGTGCCCCATTCAGAGGGTTTAACCGCGGTTAGTCCGATGGACCATGGTTCCTAGAGGTGGACCCCTGTTTTTTTAGGTTGACCTTGGTCCCTCCTTGGTAGGCCCTGGTATTTTAAGATTGACCCTGGTCCCTCGTTGGTGGACCCTGGTTCCTAGTTGGTGGACCCTTGTCTTTTGTTGGTAGACCTTGGCCTTTCGTTGTGGTCCCTGGCCCCTCGTTGGTAGACCCTGGTCTTTTGTTGGTAGATCCTGGTCTTTTGTTGGTAGATTCTGGTCTTTAAAGGTCGACCCTGTTCCCTCGGCCCCTCGGTCACCCGTTCACCTCAGGCCCTATGTCCTCGGTTACCCGGCACCTCGGCTCCTCGGCAAGCAGAATCAAAAATCAGGTCTCGGGGGTAAGGATAGAGTAAAGAAGTGAAAAGATAGGACCATATTAAATACTTCTAAATCTGGGATCTATATAGCACACCTTCGTCGTGCTTCCAAGATACTTACTAAGTCTACCCACCTGTTCCGGGAAGGAATACATTTTGGCCCCCCCGTCGAATACAGTTG